TTACAATAGTATTACTACTAATAATTATATAACAGCATGCTTAATAATATTTATCATTTATGATAAGCATGCGCATATTTACCAAATTTACCATAAATATTATTAAATATTGTGAATATTTATTTATTAATATTTAATTAATTTATAAGATTATATTTAAAAAGTGATATTTAACGTATTTAAAATTTAAATTTATTTTTTATATTTCCAAAATGTAATATTTTTAAAGCAAATAAATTTATATATGGTTTTTCTTTAGTAGTACTAATATTTATTTTTTGAATAATTAACAAAAGGTAGGGAATGGACCTCACCCGCCGAAAGGAAATCCGGTGGTCGGCGCTGGTGCCTTCTTTTTCTCTTCCTCTTCCGTTTCTCGAGAATTTCTTATGGACACAAACTTTCTCTTTTTGTAGATGTAAATATTGAACTCAAAGAGATAATTTTGTCTCTTCTCAAATGATTTTAAGTTGCACATTTTAGTATTCGAATTTGAAATTTTTAAAATGAAATTTATAAAATATATTTTATCTCATATAATCTAATATTTTCTCCAATTATTTTTTGCATCCCTACAAAACTATTTTTCACATAGATCATAAGTATAACATTCTCTCGTAATTATAAAAATTAAGATTCACTCTATGCTTATAGAGTCATATTGATCAACAAATTAAAAACTCTAACCTATTAAAAATACTTATTCATTAAAAAATTTAATTATCGAATAATTTTTTAACCAACAAATTTTATTAGAAGTCAAATTAATTTTTAATTAAGATTTAAATCAATATCTAACATAATGTTTCATAGTCCATGATTTCATTTTTTAAATCATTCGCATCTGATAGCCTAAAATAAATGATTACAGATCATACATTTGAGATGATCTCAACAAATAACTATCGATAAAACTTAAATCTAAAACTTCTTGATCAAAGAGAATAAATCTTAATTAATTAAATTAATTACTTATTGATCATTTATTCATATTATTAGACAAAAGACAAAATCCACTTTACCTTAAATTTAGACATGTAACTTGACATATAAGAGGAACACCCGAAGGAAATGTTGGATGTTTGTTGTCCTTTTATAATGACTCATATAAGTCAGACCTCATTTAGTATAAACCGGTTTTATTGAATTTGAACCGTTCCAGTAATATGACCACCGAATTTCTTGTAACAGTCTTTTTTTTTTTTTAATGGATAATTAAATCCGATTGCTTTCACATTACATACTTCAGTTTCTAACAAGAAATTTTACTATTTAAAATCATGAAGATAGTATAATCTTTTTTCCTGAATAAACAACAATTTCTTTCAACAAATACGATAATAATGTTAATAATTGCGTGATATATTAGTAAAAATTTAATAATTAAAATTTTATTAAAAAGTTATTGAATTATAATTAAAAATTATCTAAAATTTGTTTTTTATTATAATTAATTAATCTTTCTAATATTTATTTACATTTAATTAAGTTTTTTATTTGGATAAAAATTTAATACCATTAATTTTTTTGTCAATTACAATAAAATTTTGTGACATTAATAAAATGTATAAAATTTGTCATGTAACGTAGTTAATATATATATAAATAAAATAAAATATTTTTTCTTTTTTTTTCTCTTTTTTTTTTGTAAGATTATTTTAAAATTTTAATTAATTATAATTTAGAAATTGATTGATTTAATTTTATCACATAATTAGATTTACCTAATTAAAGATTTAATTAAGCCAAAATAAAAAATTAAAAGTTTAATTAATTACAATAAAATGCCAAGAGTTTAAATAATTATTGATTTTTTAAATTTTTTTATCTTTTTGCAAATAATAATAATAATATAATACTCTCAAACTCTATAAACTCATTCTAAAAGTTTAATTTATTATGTTTCAAAGTTTAATTAATTTAATTTTATCACATGAATAGATTTATTTGATTAAATATTTAATTGAATCGAAACAAATGGTTATGAACTTAATTAATTGCAATAAAATTTCAGTAATTTAAATTATTATAGAAATTTTATTTGATTTTTTTGCAAAAAAAAAAAAAAACTATTACTCTCAAACTCTTAACAAACGTGCCTATCACTTATCAACAACACCAGCACGTCGAGTTTCCTCCGGAAAACTGACCTTGTAGTTTCCATGTTCTCACAGAGTGACGGCTTGAGTCTTCTGTCCTCCCTATATCACATGGCAAATTGAATTAAAACTTCAAGTTTCAATTTCAAAGTTAAACTTTAACCGCTTGGGGTCGGAATTCAGACATGAAACATGCGTAAAGGCCATCACTTCATGCTACACCAGCTAGCCCAAGCCCACAACGGCTTGAGTCAAACCCAAAACCAATCTGGATACTGCCCAAGGCTCATTGGCTATGGCTATTGAGGATTTGTCGTGTCCTAGCCCAACACATAGAAATAGAAGAGTGTTTGTTTCTGTTCTGTTTGTGGCTTTTGAGTTGCAAAATGCAATGAATCTGGGACATGGGTAAAACACAGTTTCAAAGCTGCATACTTCCTGTCTCTTACACATTATTTTGGACATTCTGTTGAAGATTTCATGTCAAACCCATCTCTATAATTTTGCTTAAGAATTGTCAAAGAATTACTGTCAATCCGTCATCGTTTTTGAACCTTGGAAAGTTTAATAAGATGAGACGAATTATTCCTTCTTAATCTTTGAGAGAACAGGGGAAAAAGCCCCTCCATATACCAACAATACCAAAAAGGTAAATTTTCCTTAATGATGAATTAACATTTGATTCATGTATTGAGTGAGAGATAGCTAAAATAATAAAAAAAATCATTGAATTTTACGATTTTATTTAAATAAATCTTTATATTCTTATTGCATCCAAATAAATTTTTAATTTTTAATTTACTCCTAAATAAACTTTTAACATTTAATTTGTATCTAAATAATTATTTAAATTTTTATTTGAAATAAAAATTTATTTGGATACAGATCAAAGTATAGTAATTTATTCAAATACAATAAAAATCTAAAAGTTTATTTAAAAAAATAAAATAGTTTAAGGATTTCAAAAACAATATTTTAGCCTTCACTTTTTTTTTTTGCATTATTTATTATATAATGGCCATTTATTAACAATCCACAACTTGGTGTCTATTTCATTAATCTTACCTCAACTTTCCTTTTGTTTTTCTTAAATAATAACAATTAATATTATGAAAACACATGTCAAATTGTTACCTAAAAAATATATATTTACATGTTAACTGGATTTTTTTGTAACAATCTTATAAATTAATTTATTTGTTGTATGTTATTAATTTTGTTTTATAAAGGAATAAAAGTAGATAATCTGTCAATTGGGAAGTTAAGAACTTAAATTAATTAAGTTTAAAATACACTTATTTTAATGTGACAATCTTTCTTTGAGTACGGAGTGGCCAAATTTGCACCTCTCTTAAGCTGAATTGATTGATTAACTTAAACAAATGATTGTTTAATTAAGAATTTAATACTACCTTTATCCTTTTTTTTTGTTCATATATTTTTTTAGATGTCTCAAAATTATATCCTTTTTTTTTACATCTAAAACTCTTATTTTTTATATTTAAAATTTTTATATTTTTATTTTTGATATTAAAAATCATAAAATTTTAATTTTAATATTGAATTGCGTTTACGTTACTCACTACATCATTGCCAAGAATGAATTATGCAATAAAATTCATTAAAAATTTTTAATTTGAATATTAAATATATTAAAATAAAATTTTTTTCTTAAATATCGTAAAAATCAATACATGAAAAATATTTTGAGATGAAAAGAATAACAATTAATAGTAATTATTATTGTTGAATCATATTAAATTAAATCATATTTAACTTAATAAAATCGTATGTGTCTAAGTTTTGAGACGAAGAGAGTAACAATTAGTATGCCTTTACGTCATTCACTATATCACCGCCAAAAACGAATTCTGCACTAAAATCAATTAGTTGTATTTAGATTATATTTTAATATAAAACAATTTTATTATATTGATAATTTATTTTTAATTAAAGAATATTAAAATATTATTTATTTAGATAAATAAATAAAATTATTTATATTAAAAGCTTATTTAAATAAAATTAATATTAAAATATTAGTCATTTACAATCCTATTTATATACATATTAAATATAAAAAAATAAATAATATTAAGTTATATATTTAAATACATTTAAATAAATAAAAATAATATGACCATTAAAAAAAAACAAAAGCCAAACAAACAAACAAACAATCTCCTGGATATGGAAACAAACTAATGTAAAAACTAACCACCGCCGCCTCCTATAAAGTCTGAGTCCTCACCGTTCTGTTTTACATCGTTGCCAAAGACGGGTTCTGCAATAAAATTCATTAAAAAAATTTAATTTTAATATTAAAGTTAAAATTTTTTTTTCTTAAATACTATAAAAATTAATACATGACAAATATTTAAAAAAAACAATTCATAGTAATTATTATTATTGAATCAGATTAAGTTAAATCATATTTAATTTAATAAAATCGTATACACTTACGTTTTAACATAAAAAAAAAATTTTGAATATTCTTACGTCACTCGTTATATCATTTTTAAAAATAAATTTTACATTAAAATCATTTATTGTATTTAGATTATATTTGAATATAAAAAATTTTTATTATATTGATAATTTGTTTTAAATTAAAAAAAGTAAAATATTATTTATTTAGATAAATAAATAAAATTATTTATATTAAAAACTTATTAAAATTAAAATTAAAATATTAGTCATTTACAATCCTATTTACATACATATTAAATATTAAATAATTAAATAATATTAATTTATATATTTAAATAAATAAAAATAATACGACCATTAAAAAAAAAAAAAAAACTAACAAACAAACAAACTGGTATCTAGATATGGAAACAAACAGGTCCACTACTAGTGTAAAAACTAACCGCTGCCTCCTATAAAGTCTGAGTCCTGACCGTTCTGTTTTACAACGTTGTTGAGTTTTTGCTTCCCAAAAATTACTTCCCTGCTCTCACCCCTGAGCCCGGTTCTCTCCTCAGAAGAGCCAAAAAAGCTCAGGACTCTCCGCCCTCTCTTCGCTTCCCTTTCTCTTCCCCTGGCCTAGCCCAGCCCTCCAATTCCCCGCTCTCGTCTCTCCTTCACACTATTGCTTACTCGAAGATGGCTTTCATTTGCCTTTAGGGTTTCTAAGATCAACCCTTTTAGTTTTCGAACCCAGTCTGGACCGAATCTTAATCTAACTTATCCAATTCATCAACATGGCTATCCGCGTCACCTTCACTTACTCCGGCTACGTTGCCCAGAACCTAGCTTCCACCGCCGGCTTCCGTCTCGGATCTTTCTCGTCCCGACCCGTCCAGGAATGCTGGCTCCGGTCCCGTGTACTTTCCCCCAAACAAAAATCCGAAGTCGAACCTTCCCCTCCTCGTGCTTTCCACTCCTCTGCTGCGGGTCTCCGTAACCCACGGTCGAGCATGTACTCGACCCTCGCCGCTGATATCCTTAAAGATGGTTTTAATAACCCGATTATCGTTGGTTTGATCTCGCTGATGATGAGGTCAACGGCTTACGGTTCTTGTTCCTCGGCTACCACTTTGGGAATTTCGCCTTTTAAAGCTAGTTCGATTATCCCTTTCTTGCAGGGATCGAAGTGGCTGCCGTGTAATGAACTGGCTGCTATGGGACCGGAGAGTAGTGAGGTGGATAGAGGAGGAACAAGCAATGATGATCGCAATCTGAGCTTGGATTTGGATCCCAAAGCGTTAGGTAAAAGCAGTTGGATTTCGAGGTTGTTCAATGTTTGCTCCGAAGATGCCAAGGCTGCTTTAACTGCTGTAACCGTTAGAATACTTTTCCGGTCGTTTTTGGCTGAGCCAAGGTCAATTCCTTCAACTTCAATGTACCCTACCCTGGATGTTGGCGACCGCATTTTGGCTGAGAAGGTAAATTTTCTTCTTCTGATTCACCTTAATCGACAGTAAATTCGATATTGTATGGTTAATTTTGTTTCTTTTACTGATCTCAACAGGTTTCATATTTCTTTAGAAAGCCTGAAGTTTCCGAGATTGTTATATTCAGGGCACCTCCTATCTTGCAGGTAGATCTTCAAATTTTCTCTTTAAAGCTCTAAATATTTGCTGATGGTTTTATTTCAATATGTAGGAAATTGGGTACAGTTCAGGCGATGTTTTTATTAAAAGGATAGTTGCTAAGGCTGGTGACTGTGTTGAAGTAAGATCTTAAGATTTTGTAATTCATTCTGTTTAACATATAAGGACTTTATTCATCTTCATTTTTGTCCGTTTTCACGTTTATTTCACTGTAAGATGTATATTATTTACCTTTCTAACAGTCCATATTAAATTTGTGGTAGGCTTGTGATGGAAAACTGTCAATAAATGGTGTTGTTCAAGATGAAGATTTTGTTCTAGAGCCATTAGATTATGAAATGGAACCAGTGGTTAGTCTCTTACTTTGGACTGTCCTTCTTTAGTCTTTTGTGTATTGCGCATTTATTCATATCTATTTGTTTATCTGGTTCTTCATCATGCTTGTTACCTGGTTACTGAGACGATCACATCGGTTAACAGAGTTTATGATTTCTTTTGGGTGATTTTGCAGGTTGTGCCTGAAGGTTATGTTTTTGTGTTGGGAGATAATCGCAACAACAGTTTTGATTCCCATAACTGGTAATTCTAAAATTTAATTTCCACTAATAATTATTCGGTTTCAGAATGCATTGAACAAGCTGTGAAAGCAAAATACGCAACCCGTTTTTGGAAGCTTGCGAACAGAATCTATAATTGGTGTCCCCTTTTATTTTAGGAATGTAATCTCTTATTTTTGACATTTTGTTTCCAATTACGTTCTTTTACAGGGGTCCACTTCCCATCAAAAACATTGTTGGTAGATCTGTATTTCGCTATTGGCCTCCTTCTAAAGTTTCAGATACTTTATTTGATCCACATGTGGGGAAAAATGCTGTAGCAGTTTCTTGACTACTGAGATAACTTAGACTTTTACTTGATTAGGTGGCTCATATTGAGCATCCATGAATATTCAGCTCTATATTCATGTCCCTGGACATGGTTTAGGATTGACAATCATGTCTGATTATCATGTCCATTGGTATGTATCTTTTTGTGATGGCCAACTGTTGGCCACTGACACATTTTTTCCTGTAATCACATTGTCAAATTTACTTTGATAAGGATTTGGAAGAACCAATAAAAGAAAATTGAATGAAATCTCTGTTATCTGATGCTTTGTCTTATTTTGATGCTTAAATCATTCTTATTGCATGCTAGAAAGTGGGCTGCTCTTATCAAACTGAACTGAATTGAGAATCCAAGGTCTTAAGGTGGTTGATAGCAAAGATGCGCGATTGTTTAACGTGAAGCAGATGTATTCTGTCAGATTTGATGGTTGGAGAAAGATGGAAGCTGGAGGGCAATATTTGGGCCATTGGATTCTCAATTTTGGTCAGCGGAGAGGCATTGAAAGTAGAAAGGGAAGGCTACTGATTTTCACCAACCATATTTAAGGCCTGTGAATCTGAATCTAGGTTTTTTTTGGTTTAATCTTCATGCACTCCAACCGTAGTTCAGTGTTTGAACTTTATTTTCTTATATAATAGAATAAAATGTGGTAATTCACATTCTTGTTCTGTTTATTATTGAACAAAAATGGAATGAGCATTGTTTAGATCATATTGTTTCAATTATGAGAATGATTGAATTTTATCAACAAGGTAAGGTTTGAAGGCGAATAATTTTGTTTTCCACGTTTTTGTTTCCACATTCTTTCTTTTTCCATTTCTTTTCCTAGCCATGGCGGCTTGACCTTTATATTTTAGAGGAAGAGGAAAAAAAAAAGGCCTAGGAATGTAAAAAAGTTGTAATCTAAAAATTATTTTGATTAAAATAAATTTGACACATTACAGATATGACACTTACCAATTGAAATGTCACATGTAATTGCAATTTAGCCACAGTCATCACCAATCTTAAAGATGGAAAAAGAATCCCTCGAACACAAAAAATTCGAAAGGCAGAAAGAAGCATCGTAATTTTAATCAAAAGAGGGAAATAATTCCATAAGTTGATTTTTTTTTATTGATTATATTGGTAACTAATAAATATTACTCCCTAGTTTCTTTTATACTTTTGAAATATATATATATATATATATATATGCAAACTGTTTTTCATTTTAATTTAATGCTGTTGGAACCTTTGAAGGCTGTTCAAGTTGGCAGTGATCTGTGGGCAGAAAAGAAAAGCAATGGTCGTTTTAAACAAGTTCTTCCTCCAGGGGCAGTTGACAGTTTAACCAGGCTCATATTTGCTAATGCACTTTATTTTAAAGGAGCTTGGGCCTTGGAATGAAGCATTCGATGCATCAAAAGCAAAAGACCATGATGGTTTCAAAGTACTAAAGCTTCCATATAAGCAAGGTGGAGATCGTAACATCATTTTCCAAATGCAAAAGATGGCCAGCCAACTTTGATAGATAATGAGTTCCGATCTGATTTCTACTTTCTTGGGCCGCCGTCTTCCATCTAGAGCAGTACAAGTGGGTGTATTGAATTCAGGATTCCAAGGTTCAAGTTTTCAATATTTGAGTTCGAAGCTTCACAAGTTCTCAAAGGATTAGGACTTGTATTGCCTTTCTCTGGTGATCAAGCAGGTTTGACAGAGATGGTTGATTTTGCCGTGGTTCAGAAGCTTCATGTTTCAAACATATTCCATAAATCTTTCATAGAGGTTAATCAAGAAGGGACAGAGGCTGCTACTGTTTCTGCATGTGTCGGTCAATATACACTACTTCCATACTATTCCCAAAGACTTTGTGGCTAACCATCCTCTCCTGCTCTTTATCAGAGAAGATGTGACTGGAGTTGCATGTTCTGTTCATTACTCGTGTTCAATCCTCTTGAATGCTTGCTGAATATACATGTATATAAATATATATATATATATATATATATATATATATTAGAAGTTTGTGGTATGATTTAACTATCCGATTGGTTTAGAGTATTACAAATGCCAGAAAACCCTACATGCCTTAATTAATGTTTTGTAGCTTGAACGAGTATGTATTGGTATTACCTTCCAAAATAAAAGCTAAATCTCTTGATTGATCCTATTCAAATAGTATTAAATTTTCCCTTTCATCAGCCTTTCAGATTCAGCATACATGAAAAAAGGTCAACAGTGCCATCTTCAATGACTGCCAGGAAGCTAAAAGCTTAAACCAATCTCATTGGTTCACGCACATGTTTCTGAGTTTCAGAAGAAAATTTTTGTCATGGCCAATGTCAACTCCATAGAAAATGACCCAACCCTAGCCCTCATGGTTGAAAAATACAGGAATTTGAGTTTCTTATGCTCTTTCATAACGTTATCTAGAGTCTGGAACAGGGTATGAAGCCTACGCACCGAGTGGTACCAAAAGACAACTACCAAAGTATGGTATCGATAAAAAATCATATATATATATATATATATATATATATTACAACATACGTAGTTATCATATAGAGTTTACTGATATGAATATTTACGTGGATAGCTTTTATTTTTTGACATTTCAGAAAATTATTAAAATTTTTTTTATAATGATAGATAAGATATTTTTTAATTTTAGACTTTTTATCAAAAAATAAATTTCAAATTTTATTTAATTATCTAAAACTTTTAAAATTTAAATGAAAAACCAATTTAGATTTAAAATAATTAAAGGGATAAAATTATTTTTTTATTTTGGTAAGATTTTATTTAAATAAATAAAATTAATTCTTATTTTTTATTTATGGATTAAATAAATTTATTTAAAAAATTATTGGTTATCCAAATCTTTCTAAGATATATTTATTTGAAAATTTTAAATTATCCAAACATTTTCTTTTTACTTAAAAAAAAAAAACATCTTTATTAGTCAAATACACATTTAAATATATCTTTTTATTTTTAAAATTTAATTTTTTAATAATTAATTATATATATGGATCTGGACATAGGATTAGTCTTAAATGACCAAATAATGAATGAAAAAGCATAATTTTTCTTGATCTGTAATTAGTATTATACTTTGAAATACTTATATTTCTGTTGCCTTTACAATTAAAATTATAGTATTAATAATTATAAAGTTTACTCTTAGAATATAAAAAACTTCACCTACCATTTTCAATTAGGATAATAATAAATATTTTTTATTTTTTAAAATTAATTTTTTATATTTATCTTAAAATTTAAAAATATCAAATATAATTTTATCTTAATAGATTTCATGATAATCTTTTATTATTTAAAAGGATCAAAATTAATCTCTTAATAATTTATACGTGATTGTTTAATATCATTATTTAACATTAATTTGATTTTTTTTGTCATTTTTCTTCATTTTTGTGTTACCTCATTTTCTTTTCATATTAAAAAGTGAAAGTTATAGAAACTTTTTTCTTATTTTTTTTAATTAATCGTTTATGATTTACTGACTCTTATCTCTTTTGATGAAAATGGAGCAATAATACAATCAAGATATTATAAAGTTAACTAGAATTTTATATTCTTAATCTTTAATCTTTCTCAAATATTTTAAAAATATTCAAATTTCGAAGTTAGAAGGTAATTAAAAATACCATCAAGTTACTAATGGAAAAAAAATTCTTTTTTTAAGCATTTATTATTATTTTTAGATACTTATATTAAGTACACAATCTTTAACTTTGACCTTTTTTTTTTATATTACAATATGTAAAGTTACATAAATACATATATTCATATATTTTGTAGCTACTGACTACATACAGTTTTTCCTGATTTTGACTCTTCACTTAATTAGGTAATATTTTTTCTTTCAATTGGCTTTCTTTTCATATATTACAAAGTGCAAAGTTATAAAAAATATTTTTTTCTTTTATTTTGTCAATATTATCTATAATTTTTTCTTTATATTTGACTATTTACTCAATCAGGTAATTTTTTTTAATTCAGCTTTTTTACATTATGCAAAAACACTTTCATTAATAGTCTACTTGATTACATTGATTTGAATCTACTATTTATATCAAAATATTGTTACAAATAACAAGAACTAATTGATTTTTGAAATCATATTTTATGTATATAATATAATTAGCTCATCAATTAGGATTTTGTATAAAAATTTGTAATCTACTATACTTATTCCTCTTCAAAGTCATAACATTTTTTTTTATTTATAAAAAAGTTAAGATAAACTAAAATCCAAATTGATTTCATTCTTTTTTATTCTTCAAATCAAATCTCATTTAGTAAGCACTTGATTTTTTTTAAACATAATTTAAAAAAAATATGAATTTAAAAAATTAAGAAGTGTCCATAAATTTGGTGGCATCCAATTGTAAACATTTTTAAATTTTAGATTCTATTTTAAGTTTGACTAAAAACACCTATTTTATTTATATTTATAATTAAAATGTTAAATTTTTATAATATTAAATGTATTTTAAATTTAAAATTAAATAAATTTTTAATATAATAATATTTTGAATCTATAGTTAAAAAGTTATGCATAAAATCATAAATATGACCTATAATCCAATTAACGAATAGGTCTACTTCCTAATAAGGTTAAAAAAATTATATTCAATTATGGTCCATTTTTTTTCTTTGCTTGAAATTTTGAAAAACATCATTAATCAAACATGAATATGAATTTAAAAATACGTATTTTCTTAATTTGTTTTACTTAGTCTAATCAAATTAAATTTATTTAACTAACTTTATAAGATATAATTGATATAAAATTATATATTTTTCATATGATAAATAATATCATCATACTTAAAGTGTATGAGATTATTCGGTAAAAAAAAAATTGAAATTAAAAAAAATAATTTGTGATTTTTTAAAAAGCCTTATAATTAACCATAATTTATAGGATTTTTTTATTGTATTTTAACTATAAATTAATTTCAAACATAAATAATTAGATATATATGATTTTGTCTTTCTTTTAAATTTTAAAAATTTGAATAACTAATAATTTTTTAAATATATTTATTTGATAAATAACATAAAATTAAAAATGATCTTACATGCTATCATAAAGATAAATTTTTTTACACATATAAATTATTTATAATCACCTTAATAGATAAATAACAAATAATTAAATTAAATGATAAGTAATTTTTAACTTGCTACATCACAAACTAAATCTCCTCAAATAAAAAAAAAGTTTCAATTACAATTGAATAATAATTAAAAGTAAATTCATAAAGTAAGATAATTCGTGCATTACACGAATAATAAACTAGTATTATATAAATCAATCAAATTGGTTCAATTATTATTACTTGTAAAAGTAATAATCCACCTTTAAAGGTGGAAACGTAATTATCAATGAATCGAAGATTAGATGTTGAATAATGAGATCGTGTTTTTTATGGTCTAAACACAAGAAGGATCAATGATCACGTAGCTATCGAAAAAGTTGTTGGTCTGCTAGTCGGCTTAGTTCCATTGGTTTTTGATTCGATAATGGCTAAAAAAGCTTTGATTTGACAACTCAATTATGCAAAATTTAGCCATGGAATCATAGATTAGATGGACCCTTTTTAAACCATTCAAGAACAAACCATGTCTTTCACCCACGGGAAAAAATTATTTATGGTACGATGCAAGTTTTGAGCGTTGATTCTTCAACTTTTTCTTCGAAAAATAGTTGTGTTGGCCTAAAGTAAGTGGTTGATTGGATCCATAAAACAAACATCCTAGGCGAAAATGTTAGACTTGTGAACTTAAAATAAATAGTGAAGAACACAAAGATTTGACAAAAGGTTTCAAATGTTGTTGTTTTTTTTTTTTTTTTTTTCTTTATTTTCAAAGCATCATTGCTCTTTCTTGACATATATTTTAGATGGATGAATAAAAAAGAAAATTAAAGTAGTGTTTGTAGACTATGAAATATGAGTAGAAGTGTATCTAAAGTCATGCTAGGGTTAGACAAGAAAAAAATGAATCAATTTACTTGTCAAATCTCAAAATTATTAAAAATTATAAGTATTGAAATTTAAATGTTAAATTTGTTAAATATTTTTTTAATTATAATTATATACATAAAAATAAAATTTGAGTTTAGGGTCACATTTTTTTAATTTTTAAAATTACTTTGGTTTTACTTTTTTTAGACTTCTAAAAGCTGAAAACCAAAACTATCAGTTAAATAAAATTATTTATCTAAGTAAATTTTCTTAAAAAAAATGAATGAAATTTCATAGGCATGGCATAAATGTTATTTTCAACGAAATTGAAAGCTAAATTCGACAAAAAAATATAGTAAAGATCTTTTAATATTGTCAATTATTTTTTGAATCAATTGATATATTATTATAATTAACGGTTTGAGATGGTAAGTTTAAAAGAATTTATATGCATAATATTTTTTAAATTGATAAATAATAAATTAAAATTTAAAAATAGATTAAAATTTTCCCAAAAAAAAAAAAATTCCATTGGAATGTAATAAAAGGTGAATCCCCCACTCTACTCATTCCTCGTCCCTTGTCTCCCCACCCCCTTAAAAAAGATTGAAGGATATAAAAAATATTTGGATTATAATTAAAAAATTATTTGAATGTTTTTATTAAATTAATTATTTTTTAAATATTTATTTATATTTAATTAAATTTTTATTTAAATAAAATATTATATGACATAAATAAAATTAATAAAAAATTGTCATTAATATAATTAATATATATATAAATTAAATAAAAAAATTTTTCTTTATGCTTTTTCCTCAATCCTTTAAAAATTCAGTTGATTGTAATTTAAAGATTACTTAATTAAATTTTATTCATTTAAAAATAAAAATAAAAATAAAAAATTTAATTAATTACAATAAATTATTAAATTATTATTGATGAACATTTTTGTCCTTTAACCCAAAACAAAAACAAATTTGTGTATTATATTCTTCTCGAAATACGACAAAGTCACAAAACTTGTAATACAAAGTTCCAAATCCCCTTTAGCTTTTACTTGTTTCCAGTTTCCTCCTCTTGTCTCTTATCTCTGTATTTCAAAGTTTTCTTAAAGGAAAAAAGGAAATTGAATGAGCTGAACTTGAACTGGCTTTCTTTTGTTTAATCATTTCTGTTTTTTTTTTTTTTATTTTGCGTTGGTGATTTATTGTGAGAACGGTAAGGGAAGAGAAAGAATAAAAGGGTAGGAATCTGAAAATTTTATAAGCTCTCTGTTTCAAGTGAAGAAGAACAAAAGGGTATTAACCGAAAGGCAAAGCAATAAAGAAAAGAAAAAAGATGGGAGAAACAGATCATCACCACAACCCACCTCCACCGCAAGTGGTTACACCACCGAATCTTGCGCTTTCAAGGGGACCTACTTGGACTCCTGCTGAGCAACTCCATCAGCTTCAATACTGCATCCACTCCAACCCTTCTTGGCGTCAGTTTCTCTTCTTTATTTGCTCTCTTGTCAAGTATTTACCGTTTGTTTTATCAGAAAGCTGACTTAAGTAGAAGATTTTATGTTAAAGCCAGTTGCTTGCTTTTTAGTTGGTTGTTTTTGCTTAGATGATGAAGTTAATAGATCAAAGGGTTCTCTTTTTAGATTTTTCCTTTCTAAAAAGTTTTAAGTTACTTTTGAATATTTTATCTTTATGGGTTCTTTTCATTAAATTCTTTGAAGGACACCTATGTATCATTTGTTCTGATTCTCTTTCGATTTGTACATTTTAATACCTTTTTTACCTAAACTAGGATAAGTTTGTTGTTTGTTTCTAGTAGCTGAATAACTGGCTTTAGTTCAACCACGTAACTGAATCGTTTTCCAGGATTGAAATCTTATGCAATTAATCTCACAGTATCAACTTGTTTTATAATAGGTCAAGCTGTTTTACTGGCTTTCCAACACTACATTGTGAATCTTGGAACTACAGTCTTAATTGCAAGTAATTTCGTGCCTCGGATGGGTGGGAATCATGTATGTTTTATGACCCGTATAGATAATTTGAATACAGAAATATTTTTTTTATGGGATTGATGGTCTTTTTATCTCAATCCTTTGTTGACAATGAACAGGGTGATAAAGCCCGGGTCATTCAAGTGTTGCTGTTTATGTCAGGCATTAATACTCTGCTTCAAACGCTTATTGGCTCAAGGCTTCCCACAGTGATGGGTGCATCTTTCGCATACACCTTACCATTGTTGTCGATAATCAATGATTATACAGATGAGGCCTTCACATCTGAACATGATGTATGTAAACTTTAGTAAGACATAAGCAAAAGTAATATGAACTTATAAATTATAAAGGTCTTTGCTCTGTAATTAAGTTGGGACTATTCATCGTTTAGTAGGTAGATGTAATATAAATATTGTTGTTAGGTTTTATAAGTTATAGACTTCTACTAGTAATGTCATGGTTATGTGTTTTGCGAATGGTCTTGACCTGAACATAGAACTGTTGAACCAAATGAGTACTTCTTGATGTCAATATGCCTGCTTTGCATAACACACATTTTCCATCGCAAACTTGAACTTTAATTCATTTTTCTCCAATGCCCTTTGAGAAATGGTTTTAATTTGTCTCCACTATTTTTGTTCTTTCTGATTAGATCTCAGATATCTCCCAAAAATGTTACTTATATTGGGTTATAAGCTACAGCATCCTTGGTGTTCTAACGTAGTATATATCATATAACTAAGTTGATGTACATGTTCAATAGATTTGCTCATTGTTGGTGTACTCTTCCTATATTCCCTTGCTCATTCTTGGCTATGACCATATTACTTAATGACTATTATTTGGGTGCTTGCTTGCAGCGGTTTGTTCGTGGTATAAGAACCATTCAAGGGTCACTAATTGTTTCTTCCTTTGTCAACATCATCCTTGGGTATGGCAGGGCATGGGGGGAGTTGACAAGGTAATAGCTAATGTAGTTTTGAGTATCAATTCATGCAACCTATTTTATTTATTGTTTGCAGCTCCTTGCCCGCTCCTCAGTTATGGCTTGAGATGTTTGTTCAGTAAATTATCAAGTTTTCATCACTGATTTCTCTAATAGCTTTCCCTTTAATCTCTTTCTCTCTAGATTCTTTAGTCCCTTAGTTGTGGTGCCAGTGGTTTGTCTCGTTGGTCTTGGTCTGTTTGCAAGAGGTTTCCCATTGGTAATTTTCTTTAAACGTTTCTGTGCTTGGTTGGGGCTGATAATATACTGATACAAACTGCTCTTTGATGCAATGCATTTATGAGACAGCTAGGTAACTGTGTGGAAATTGGCCTGCCTATGCTCATTCTGCTGGTTATTTCTCAACAGGTAATATAAATTACTCTGAGTGTAACGTCTCATACTAACATCCTTCTTCATTAAATTGACTAAAATACTTGTTTGCTGCAGTACCTGAAGCACCTTCATTCAAGGGCCCATCAAATACTTGAGAGGTTTGCTTTGCTTTTCTGCATTGGAATTATCTGGGCTTTTGCTGCTATCCTCACTGTCTCTGGTGCTTACAACAATGTCAAGACTACCACTAAACAGAGTTGCCGCACAGATCGATCTTACCTACTGTCATCTGCTCCATGGTATGGTTATGATGTGCTTTTCTCCTTGTTTGATTGAGTTATAATTGATTTTGCAAAAGTCCTCCTTTTTGTGACTCATTACTTCATGTTATTATTTCTAGGATTAAAATTCCATATCCATTTCAGTGGGGTACTCCTATATTCAGAGCTAGCCATGTCTTTGGGATGATAGGTGCTGCACTTGTTTCATCAGCCGAGGTTTAGTCACTATCTTAGAGGATTTAATTCTATTTAGTATTTTTATTTCATAAGTTTGACATTTTGGTTTCACTCAATCCAATTTGAAACTTTAGTCTGCATCAAGCTACATAGACTTTGCTGTATTTTAAGTAGCCTTAAAACATTTTTTATGTTCATTTACCTTGTTCTGATAAATCAACTGCTAATGAAACTTTTCTAAACTATCTACGATTTTGAATGCAGTCAACTGGAACATTTTTTGCAGCAGCTCGCCTTTCTGGTGCCACAGCCCCTCCGGCATATGTACTCAGCAGAAGTATTGGCTTGCAGGTCCTTCCTGGATGGCTGTGCATTTTTTTTTTTGGAACTTATTCATCAATCATTTCTCTAAAATGATAAACGGTAGTCCTGAATCTTGTGATTTTATTTTGTCAGTGGTGAAGATAACTCAGTCATCTTGGTTCTAAATGCAGGGTATTAGTATGCTGCTTGAAGGGCTTTTTGGTTCTCTTGTTGGTACTACAGCATCTGTGTAAGGAAGCATCGGTTTTGTAAAGAGAAGTTCCATTCTAAATAGAGTAGTTATTAACTATAAAAAACCATTACTGATGGGCAGCACCATATTTTAGAAAGGGTAAACTTCACATACACCCTTTGTGGTTTGCAAATTTCTTACTTACACCCATTGTGGAATTTTTTTTTTCACCTATAACCCTGTGGTTCACTGCCGTTACTAGAAAAGAACGGCGTTACAAATAAAGGTGAGGATAATTTTGTAATTTCACTAAAATCTGCTTGATTTTTAATGCCGTTACTCTCTTCTGGTAATGGAAGTGAACCATAAGGTTATAACTGGGAAAAAAATTTTCTTAAAGAGTGTAAGTGGGAAAGTCGCCAATCACAAAGGGTGTATGTGAAGTTTTCCATTTTAGAAACTTTTTTCAGTCTCATCCCAATGATATTGCAGTGAAAATGTTGGCCTTCTGGGACTTACACATATAGGAAGCAGAAGGGTGGTGCAGATTTCGACTGCTTTCATGATATTTTTCTCCATATTTGGTTTGATTTTTTTTCACTTATTTTTGCATCTAAAAATCTGCCCTATATTTATCATGTTGATACTTGATTGCGTTACCTTACGTTCTTTCAGGAAAATTTGGTGCATTCTTTGCCTCTATTCCATTGCCAATATTTGCTGCCATATACTGCATTTTATTGGGCATTGTTGGTGAGTGACTCTATAGTCATGATAGTTTTTGTATCTGATATCCTATTGTTTCTTTAATTGGGAATTTTCCTCCTTTCTTTTCCCTCTTGATGCAGCTGCTTCTGGGATCACATTCATACAATTTACAAATAATAATTCCATGAGAAACATCTATGTTTTGGGTGTCTCTCTATTCCTTGGGCTATCGATTGCTCAGTACTTTTTACTGAACACAACTTACGACGGTTATGGACCAGTTAGAACAAATGCTAGATGGGTAAGTTATGTACTGCGATTGTTTTATTCTCCATATTCTTGTCACAATCTAGTCAATTAGAAACTAATGTATGGAACAAGGGTCTGAAGAAAATAACTAAACTCGAACAGAAAACAGGCATGCATAATCTTTACAGGTTTACATTAAGATAGGGAAGAGGATTCATCATGTGAATCACATAATTTTACCTGATTATAGTTTCAAATTCCTAGCTGATGGTCTGTTACTGTGATTTAATTGTGATAAATGTTCGAAATGTTGGTCGGTTTCCATTAATTTACCCGATTTTGAGACGCATTCACAGTTGGAAATATATTTTCTTGTCTATTTGCTTCATCTGTCTGATACACATCCACTTACACTCCATGCAGTTTAATGATCTATTGAACACAATCTTCTCATCACCTGCAACTGTGGCGATCATTGTCGGGACTGTCCTTGATAACACACTAGATCCGAAACATGTGGATGATAGAGGAGTTCCATGGTGGAAACCATTCCAACACAGCAAGGGAGATGCTAGAACCGAGGAGTTCTACAGCTATCCCCTCAGAATAAATGAATATATCCCCACCAGGTTCCTCTAAACATAGAACATTGTTTGTATATTAGTTGCAGTACGGTCATGTTTCATGTTTATATGCAGGAACTTTGTGTTAAATCATTTACAAAACTGTCACAGTTGGTCAATGTGCGGAATTTTAATCTTCTACCGCCATAGTTATTTTCTTTGCAGTTTAGATTGTCAAGTATTGTAGCTTTTCATGGTAGGCAAGTAGTGAAGTAGATGACATTTTATTTCTTATTGATATTCAACTGGGTGAGAAAATAAGAGGGAACTAGTGAAAATAGTTATCCTACTTTTATCAAGTAACAGTTCCTTGGTTATTTGGAAGAAGAAATAATCTTCTTGAGAAGTCTTAAAATGAGGCTTTGAGATCATATTCTAATATCTTTATTTCCCTGTGTTGAAAGGAATGGGAACAAGTGAAAAAAATGGGCTTCTTTCAGCAGTTGGCTTGATTATGAATCTTGGAATGAAATTTCAACTTTTGTCACGATTTAAATTTTGGTCGGTGGAGAGTCCAACACTTTACCAACAATTTACGCGACTATCATCCTGCTTATAACTTCATTTGATTTAATTATCATTGCTTTGAACAACAAATGCATCCCAATAACACCGGAGTTGCTTACATTTTATGCTAACTTGATCTCAATTCACTTCGCTGTTTAGTGATGCCCACCTCCAAGAGTTGATCAAAAAGTTGAATAATGTTTATTTTTTCTTGAAGTTGCAAAACTTGAGAGTGATTTATCACTTTCTTTTGATCTTTTCAAAACGTGGAGTGGTGGCAAAAGCAACATCAATTATCATCTACAGAACTTCTAGAGCCGCCTTAGTATAACAAAGTGGGGGTCATTGTGGGATTTCTTAGTCAAGGAAGACTTTGATTAATAATAACCAGTTAGGCCAAAATAGTTTAAAAAATGAATGGCTTTCTACTATTCCATCACACTAACTCATGTTTTTCATCACTGATGACTAAGACGCAAAATTTAACTGAAAATTATTAATGGGTTTTGGTTTAGATTGTCAATCATGGATTTGTGAAGTACTTTAAGTTCATTTAAAACAGTATAAAAAGGATTGAAGTGTGAACGCATTTCATGCTTCATTGCCTAGCAGCTAGCATAGCGACAAGAAATCCATGAGAATAACTGGGGAAAGCAACAGGCCAAGCCCTCACTCTGAGGTAGATTTTATTTTGGAAAATCTAATTTGTGGGATCCACGCGTTTCTATCTCTTCACTCGTTTTCTTCCCTTATGAAAGGGTCTTTTGCCGCTTTTGTCAGTTGGACTCTAAAGTAAGCAAACCGACAAAAAGACTTGATTCCATCTGCAGAACAGATGATTTTTACTTGATGAATGCGTTGTGAAGATTTTGCAAAACAGGGTTTAGGAGCAGGATTAAAACGAGGAATTGAATTTGTATCCAATCCTTTTGCGGACAATTATGGTCAGAACTGGTCTACATTCATCGAATTGATAGAATATTCCAGTCCTAACTATTGGAACCATGCACGAAAAGCATGGTTCCCTAAGCTATCCACTAATGCTTCCTAGCCGCCTATCACTATCTTAGATGATAACATAATCCTCAATCATGGCGTAACTTTTATACATCGCTGGGCCTCTTCTTGACTTGACAAACAAAAAAATTGTTACCCTTTGTTAGAAAGGACACAAGGTTTTCATATAATTCTAATATTTGTAACTGATTCTACAGGAGAAATCGGTGCACAACAATGTTCAGAGCCAGGATCCAACAAATTTATTAAGTCATGAGCTATCTTACATCAAGAAGCCTGAGAAAGTCATAAAAGAGGCAGTAATATAAAGAATGTAATCCACCAGCACCAAGTCTAACAAACATTGCAATTATTAAAATTATGTACATTAATATTAACATCGACAGCCAGATACCCATCCTGTTTCAGCCATTAAGCCAGTCCAAACTGTACCAATTCTCTGCAACTTGAACATGAAGGTCTGGAATGACCTTCTTCACATTTTTCCAACTCCCAGAAACGTCATCATCACATACAACTCGACGCAGTGACTTCAAGTTCGACAAGGCAGCCGACGTTGGTAGATTCAGATTCAGTGAACACTCCCTCATGTCTATCTTTTCCAGGCTTGTTAATCTACCTATCTCCTTAGGTAGGCACCTCAAGTTAACGCATTGTGAAACGTCAAGGTATTTTAACCCAATTAGCTCGCCAATGCTGGAGGGGAGCACCTTAAGTTCTGGACAAGCATACAGCCTAAGTATCTGTAGTTTCTTCAGCATACCCAAATCAGCAGGCAATTCACATAATCGGTGGCAATTGGTTACGCTCAGACTGTGAAGTGAATTCACCTTACAAATGCTTAAGGGCAGCTTAACTAAATCACCACAATGATCAATTATGAGCTCTGATAGACGAGGGAAGATCTGGGGCATGTCTAGCACCGATGGATCAAAGCTATTATTAACCTTGCATAGAACCATAGATAGTTTCCGCAAGTTCCTCAATGGAACAGTGGCATTGGACAACTGAGGAACGGACACTTTTTCAAGCCATAGGCTCCGCAAATTTGCCAGATTAGTAAAAACTGAAAAATTCTGAAGCGTCGCCTCAGTTGTACCATAATTTATCACAATAAGTGCCCTAAGCTTGGGCATATCATCTATGAAAGGAGGCAAGAAGTATTCATTGGAGGAAAAATTCACAACGAGTACTTCAGCTTTAGGGAACTCCATGCGGAACCAGTCCATTTCCCTCATTTCTCCTGTCGTCAAGTAATGAAATTTCAAATATAATAAGCAAGGACAGTGGGACAGCAAGATGCAATTGCAAAAGAAATACTAAATAAGTTTCAGAATTGTTAGCTATGCTGGTTTTAGTGGAGGTAATACTACAAACTTATTTAGTGCAAAGCAATTGAGAACAAGTGATAATGATACCTGTATGAACTGAAACAATCTGAGCATTGAATGGCTGATCTGTATTTCTTTCCCATTCTCTAGGAAGATCTGTATCTCTTCTAGGCATAAGTAACTGCTTTCGCTCATTCACATCTCCACGATTGCTTAGATGAATAGTAAGATCCCTCAACACATCATGCTGAGTAACACAGATGTCATAGTAACTGCTATAAGCATCTCCAGCCCTATCCAGTACAATTCAGAACACAAAAATCAGACGTCTCAAGTAACAAAAACCAACCCAATTTACTGACTTCATTAACAATAAAGAGTCTTGAGTAACATACCTTGCATCTTTCACCAAAGTGAGTAGGTTCTTATCCGCAAGTTCAACAAGAATAGCAAAAGCGTCTTCCTCATCGATGTCATGAATTTCAACCCACATATTTATGAGAACATCAAGGGGAATTTTCTTATCTTCTGGAAACGATCCCAGATCCAAGAAGCATTCCTTAACCTTCTTGTTCAAGTACTCCACGCTTATTGCCATCCGCTCAAGCAATTTGTTTTCGTGAGACTCGCAAATCGGTTCTCCTCGAGATAACCTATTCTTCGCACTAACCCAACACATTTCAGGCTGGTCTCGCAAAGAAGCTCCAATCACTTTAAGTGCCAAAGGAAGTCCTTTACATTCATTAACAATCTGTCAAATTCAAACTTTCATAACACCATCAGCAAAGATAAAAAGTAACCAGTTACCGAGCTCGGAGAAACAAAAAGAAGATCATCGTTACCTGCTTGACCAACGTCTCATTGGCAGTAGGAGGAATCAATTTTTGCCCGAAAGCAGAGTGGCAAAACAAGGACATTGATTCATCTTCCTTCAACAACTCAACTTTATAAACTTCATTAACAACACTTGTTGGGAACTTAAACCTCGAAACTACCAGGGTTTTGTACGTTGGTATCCTGAAAATCAGTTGTTCGAGTACGGACAACGACCAGACATCGTCCAAAACAACCAGAGTTCGCGGTCCACTTCCCCACTGACACTGTAAATTCCCTGGTGGAACACACAAGTTATTACTATAACCCATGGCCTCATTTCCTGTAATAAATCCCCATATTTTCGCTCTCAATTGTTCCAGATCCGGTGATTGTGATACAGTTAGAAACAAAATTCTGTTGTTGAAGTAACCTTAAAAAAAAAAAAAAAAAAAAAAAAAAACAGAATAGATATTATTTTCATAATCGGCCATTAGCAACAAAAAAGAAAAAAAAAAAAAACTTGCTTGATCAATTACTTAGATCAAGGAAGAAGATTACTTCGAACTTGATTGTCTCTACAAAGTTCATTAGCCAAAGTAGTTTTTCCTGATCCGCCAATGCCCCAAATTCCAACAACGTTTAAATCATCTCTTCCGATAATCATTTTTTTAACCTCGCTTTTCCCTAAATCCAAACTAACACCACCCAAGATTGCCAAACTAGCCTCCTCTTCAACTTCCATTCTCTTAACTGCTTCTTCCACCCACCCTCCACCTCCAATCTTCATTGAATTGAGTCTTTGCTCCAACCGGCCTTCCAACCGGTCGAACCGCTCCATCGTTTCGAAACGCATATGGTGCACGTCAGCCAGTAAGTGAGCCTGCAGCGGCCCGCTCACGAACCTCGCGACTTGTTTCTCTAACTTCTCCATCTTCCTGGCCAGCTGGAGGTTTTTGTAGACGTTCCAACGGCCGGAGGCGAGGACTTTTCGGGCCAATTCAAGGCCGCCACGTAGGGTCTCGGAGAAACGGTCGAGTTGAGATTGGCGGAGGGCGGGGAGTTCGACGCCGGAGTATTTGATTTCGTCGATGATGGGAAGGAGTTCATGGATGCTTGTTATGAGATTGTCCGCACTCGATTTGCAGAGGCAGGACTTGCGGGAGATGGTGATTAACTGTTTAAGAAGTTCCGTTGCGATTTCTCCGGCGAAAAAGTCGTTAAACGCCATCGTTTTTGGTTTAATTGGCCAGCAGCGTTTCGTGAGGTATTGAGTACAGAGTTAAATCCTAAATGGCGGTCGCTAACCAAATTGCTGCACGGTTCGGCTGCCTTCAGTTACTGTCTTTTAAAAACGTAGCATTTATGTTAAAAAAAAAAAAATTTTAAAATAGGACGTGCAATTCTTTTTATTTTTCTATTTTTTTTCCCTATTACACACCTTGGATGCATGTCATTAAATTTTTCTCTTTTTTTTTTATTAAAAATTTTTCTGTCAACTTAAAAAAAAAAATTCTGTCAATTGAATATTAATTCAAATCTTATGCATATTAATCAAAATTTTAAAAATTACAAATTAAAAAAAATTATTAAAATTTTTAAAAATTACTAGTTTAAAATGTTTAAATATTAAAAATAAATTTATAAATTAGATAATTTTCTATTTTTGGTTTATTTAGAAAAAATATTAGGTACTTGTTTTGAGTGCTAAATGTTTTTGAAGTATTTGAATCTTATATTATTAGTATCTTAATAATAATGTTTTATTTATTTTATTTTAATTCTAAAAGAGAAAATTTGAGAAATTCATAAATTTGATCATTGACATGAGAATTATTTTTATGGGGGGGGGGGAGGGATTGGTCAGGTGTTGATATCTATTGATATCTTCAAAATTGAAGTTCTTATGTCTAAAAACAACAATATTCTAGAGAACTTGCCAAACTTGGATAGAAATTTTTTTTAATATTAATTGTTTATGGTCAAAAGTTATATTTTCCAAAAAATAAAATAAATAGTAAACTATAATGGATCCAAAAAAGTTGAAAAAACAAAGAAATTTTATGAATTTTATAATTTTACCTAATAGATTCGTATATTTTTGTGTTCAAATAAATTCTTAATCTTTAATTTATATCAAAATAAATCTTTAAAATTTTAATTTATACTTATAAAAACTCTTAACATAAATCATTTGAAACAATGATTTATTTGGATATAAATAAAGTATAAAGACTTATTTAACTATAATTAAAGTATCAAAACTTATTTAAAAACAATGAAATAGTTCAATGACTTTTTTTTTTTAATATTTTAGGCATCCAAAAACTATACCAAATTTTGTATTATCATTCCTTAAGATTTAACACACAAAAAAATCCAAAATAAAAATTAAGTGGTAATACCAATTCATCATGCCATATCTTTTGATAAATAATTTAAACTTTTTTAAAGTCTTACTTAAAATGGGAACAATTTGTTTAGTGATGATATCCTAATTACACAAAAAACACTTGTTATAATACCTGAAAAATTAGTAGTATGTTTTTCAACAAAAATATTCTCCCAAATAACACTTAGAAATTACAATAAACCTTTTTTTTTTTTGTCACTTTTTACCTAAAAATGGGAAGAAAGGGTTTTTATGATTAAGATGAATGAGAATTGGAATACTTTATGTTTTGAGTTTTGCTAGTCACTTAATTAAAAGCATTTTTTAAAATAAAAATAATCATATAAGTGTCTCCAAGCTTTTGGTCTAATGACTAAAGCCATTTAAAGGATTTGATTTCGAATCAAATCTCTCTTATTCCTCTTACTTGTATTAAAATTTTGTCTTCATGATATAATAATAAAAAAAAGCCATATTAGTTAATGATATATAAATAAATAATAATTTAACTAATTTAAAGAGTAATCTTTATTCTTAGATATGCTTGTTGACAAAACTATATTCTTTTATTATAAATAATATGTTATAAATTTATCTCTATTATTTTTTTTAACAAATTGGTATCTATTATTTATTTTGAATAAAATCTTCATTTATTAAAAAAAAAACTTTATATTTGTTACATTTTAAGTGAATTATATTAAACAAGCCAAATTTTCTTTTCTTTTTAATTTGCATCCTTAAATAAAACTTAGAATCTTATGGTTTTTTTTTTTTTATCCTCGGTCTGTCCAAAGTCCAAACAAAAAATAAGTCATGGAAGTAGAAATTCTTTTGGTTTGATGTGAAGTTAAAGAAATTAACTAACTTTCAAAGAGGAGAAGGGAATGATGACACTTTGGTTCCTTATGCGTATTAATCATATGACCAAAAAAATTACTCACAGTATTGTAGTCCCAAGTCGACGACCAATAACAAAACAAAGGGCGTAATTAAAGGAATTAAATAATTGAAAAGCATGCAAAGAAATTTTTTTTTTAAAGAAAAGAAATGAAAACGTCATCTTTGCGAAGATAATTAAGCTATGATGATGTGTCCATCACCGTCGGCCATTGACGAGTGAAATGGCCGTCGTGCCCTCATCATGTCCAAATTGGAAGAGACGACTTGCTAGGTCAAGCCTGTACATAGAGTCAACACACTAAAAAAAAAAAAAAACTTTTAGGGACAAACAGCACTCAAAATGAGCTGATCAGTGCTTCACTTTCAGTAACCCTAACATCACATTAAGAGGACGTCTGATAAGAGAGAATTCATAATATATATTTTTTTAGAATTTTAGTAGTGAAAATTTGTTTCTTACGTTTAATTTAAAGCAATTCAGTTACAAAGAAAAATATTATATTTTCAATAATATTCAAAATCTTCAAATAAAAAATTTATTTTTTATGATATTTTAAGATTTTAAAAAAATTATTTTATTTTTAAATTTAATTTGAATAAAAAATTTATTATTTATCTGTTATATTTTTAAAAAACAAATATGAAATTCAGTTTTAACTTATTTTTAATTTAATTTATTTTTAATTTAGTTTTAATATATAGGAATTAAGACATTTTCTTCCTATAAATGTCTTAATTGATTATCAATTAAAACATTTAAAAAAATAATAAAAGTTTCTTTAAAAAAATGATCTTCTAAAATTTTTATAAATTAAAATAAAATGCTTCTTTAGAACAAATGTTTTATTTGATATTTTTTTAATATGTTTACAAATATAAATAAGACGTTCAACTCTTTCAAACATCATAATAAATATTTTTTATATTTTAATAGAATAATTATGACTTGATATTTTTATTAAAACGAAATGAAATGTTATTTACAATTTATCAAAAAGATTATAATAATTAAACATGAATTAATAAATTAAAATTCTCTTAATTAAATAAATGAATTTAATTACAAAATATCTCAAATTTTAAATATTAAAAGTTTTAAAATATCATATATATTTTTTTAAATTTAAGATTTCGTGAAACGTACGTTAACCATTCTTCAATGTTACTATTGTTAGATTCCTCCACATGGTAGGTTGATTGATCTACAGTAGGTGGTGACAAAGTTGATTTTTTTTTTTTTTATTCTTATGAAGAACGTGATTTGAGTACATTGACTTTACTATGTCGTTTTAATAACTTTATAAATATCATAGTGATTTAGGCTTGATTTGGATTTAAACATAACTATAGTGAGACATGATTAAAGATGTAAATCGCGTAATTTTTCGTTTTTGAATAACAATAATGCGGTGCCTCACTATGATAAAGCTTCAGTTGCTCACTGAAACTTCGTTGGTCCAATGAATATTTTTTAACTTCAGTCGTAGGAATTATTTTATTTTTAATTTTTATTTATTTTTTTTCAACTTTGTTTATTTTAAATTTTTTATTTAAAAATTTTTAAAAATGAGTTTTGATAAGATAAAATTATTAATTATTAATAGTTATTAACAAAATTATTATTTAACATAAAAATAATTTATCAATTTTATAAATATTTAATAATTTAAAATTTTAATATATATAAATTTTAATATAATATATTTAACGATTATTTTTTTTTTACTACAATTTATCTCATCGTCATCATTACGTTTGTATTTAAATATATATCTTCATTATTGATTTTAATCTTATAATTATAATAACTAATTTTATTTTTACCATTATTTTCAATTGGATCATTATTTTCAATTGGATCGAAATTAATTTTACCATCCATTCAAATGAATCTTTATTATGATAAATTTTAGTTAACAAGATATTTACTTTAGGTATCATTCATCTCATTTATTAATTCATAAAATTAAATTGAGACTTAATTCAATCACTTTGACAATATAATATTTAATAAATTTAAAATTTAAATTTCATAATTTTTTTATCCTTAAATTATAATATCTTTTATAAAAAAATTAATTCTATATGTAGCATGATTCACCAACCTTGACGAACTAATGTAATCAACGACTAATCATGTAAAAAAGTCAATGCCCAAACAGAGATCTTTTTTTGTTTATTCTATTGTTTCAAAGAGCCATCATCTCTTAGATGAAGATCAGTTCTGTCCGTACAATTTCCTAGTACACTGTTCTTTGACTCTTTGGGTCCAAGATACATATAAAATTAGAGGTAAACCACAATTATTACTGTTGGCTTGTCAAGAGCTGGCAATTATGGCTATTTGAAAATCGACAGAGACTTTTATGTTGCATAAACATGTAGGAAATTAACCCATGGTTGGATTAAGATTGAGCTACATGGAGACCATATCAGCCCTTTGGCAGTTGCCATTTGGGTTTGGGGTATGTATATGCCTTAAAGCATGGAGCATACCTCACTAACTACTAACACAGTTTCAATCCCAATGAGTACGTAATATTTTTTGACTATCTTTGTTTGACCATGGAGCATACGGATTATGGACCCTCACCCCAATTCTCACAAAACGATGAGTCTTATGCACCAAGATTTGCTCTTTCTCCTCTTGTCCGATTTCATCAGCTTTCAACTTTATCTGCTGCATACGGTACACTAAAAGTCCCTTTTTTTCTAATTAAATTACGATAGAGATAAGCTAATTTAATAGAAAATATGGCAAATGGACTATATCCACGTTTTCTCTTTGCTAGTTCGCCAGTACTTTTATCATGGATTGAGACTTAAATTTTGAATTCGTGCAATTTCGAGATCTAGACATTCATCCTTTCGACATTTCAGATCAGGCTACATGTTACGATTCATACCATTATGAGGTATTATCCGCTTTGACCCCCTGACCTCTTGACCTCACGATTTTATCTTACAAAAGGTGCTTCACAAAGCAAAAGTGGTATGAGGTATGAACTCTTATATATTCCAGTGACCTTCCTATTATGTTCGATGTGAGATTCATGACTCTTTTTTAGGTCCGTGACATTCTTTCGCATTCAATCTCGTGACGCCCTCGTCACGGAAGCTGATCACCCTGCTTACCTCTCTTGAGGCGCTCCACATAGATCGAATGGTTTAGAGCTGGCTCTAATATCACTTGTCATTCGAAACTTAAGCTCCGAATCCGCGTGACTCCGGGACCCGAATATTCACCCTTCTGATGTTTCAGATCAGCCTACATGTCACGGTTCACACATTTGTGAGGTATTATCCGCTCTGACCCCTTGATTTTAGGATTTTATCTTACAAAAGTTATCTCACAAAATGAAAGTGGTATGAACTCTTATATACCCCAATAATTTTTTTTATTATGTTCGATGTGAGATTCAAGACTCTTCTTTAAGTCCGTTACACTTTCTCTTGGACTTTACTTCAATCGGTAAAATTTACATCAACTATAGATTCTTACGGATAAACTATAACTGTTGGCAACTAAAAGACTGATGTCATCCCTTGTTCCCTCTCGTTACATGTATCAATTGTATGTAAATGTTGTCCTAAATATGGTGGCTATTTGATCACCAGCTTTTTGTATGTATATCATCTTATGAGATTGCTGATTTATAGCTTCTTTCTTTTCATATTGCTTCAGATCCATGGCACAACATCCTTGAACCTGGGTCTAGATCTTTTGGTGTCTAACAATATGGTATTTTGTATTTTATAATTTCAATATTTTTTGTTATTCTAAGTCTAGAACTATTGATTAACGTTCATATCAGCCCTCGTTCCCTGTCCGTGCATTTTTTTTTTGGTTCAGGGGAGGGCATAATCCTTCAAAGGAGAAAAGAAGTGACGATTCTAACTCGAAATCAGGATTTCAATAACCTCTTAAATCCTCCTTAGCTACTAAGCCAAAAGGCGGAGGACCTCTTAGTGCATGTTTATTATTCTAAGACAATTGCTTCTGTCTTTCATGTAACCTTTAGATCCATGGTATTTTGTATTTTATAATTTCAATTTGGGTTCTCCAGCTTTTTGTATGTATCACCTTGTTAATGATCTAAAGTGAATTTATCATGTATAACCTTGTTAATCGATCATCATATGACCCAAACTATTAAATGTCCATCCATGTTTTGCTCAAGTGTTCTGTATGGTTGAATTACATTGTGAGGCAGGCATGCCTTGCTCTTTGGAATTTAATGACAACTTGATCTGCTGCCGGTGAACCATGAAAGCAGATGCGTCTTCTGTTTCATTGGGTTATCATCTGTGAAACAGAAAGTATAGAGGAAAATACTGCCCCAAGACCAACCTGTTTGTTTGAGCCATTGAAAGACATTATTCAACCAGCTGAACATATGTTAGAACAAAAATGGTAAGAAATTTTGCTATCGGACGTGGTTGGTCAAATGTTTATGAAAGAGTTAAGGGTTTAAATATGAGCAGTAAATATTATAAGATCTTTGACTCCATGTATTACTGTCTTTAACAGAGCTCAACTACCATACCAGTGAGATTGAGGTCTCCCCTTAAGATCTGCAAAGCCTTTAAGAACAAATGCACGAGTAGTGTATTCTGATTTTTTTTTTTTTTTAAAATAAAACTTGGTGTTTGCTATGGAGAATTTGTGATCACAAAACTAAAAGTAGTTTAGCGAGCAGAATTTTGTCTCCTTTGACAACAAAAACCGGTTAAACCTATCTCATGTTTGGTTGAATCAAGCCTTTAACCAGTTATTTGTTTGGCTTTATACGGATTTCTGACTATTTATTAGCATACACTCCCACCCTTTTTCAGATTCCAGCACTATCAAACTGACTGGTGCGAGTGTCCTTGACTAGAGATGGTACGATGTCATGTTCTTAAATTTCTCTTTCTCTTAAGAAAGGATGTAAATACGGGAGGCAATAGGAGAACAATGACCCTGTATATATCAGATTGGTGAGATTTCAATAGAGTTGTTCGAACAGCAAGGGGAAAAAGGAAAGAGGAGGGATTCACCATGGAAAGAAGAGAGAGGATGCCGAGCGGTAACCATTGGTTGGCTACAAAAGGAAGGAAGACTGGCAGATGTGTTCACGGGCTGCTGAGTGAGAGTTAATATTTGGGGTTTCTGAATTGTATATTCGTTAAGGTTGTTTTCCATGGTTTCTTACACTGACCACAAAAGTACTGCAAAAGCTAGTCAACTTTTTTGAAAAGGGCTTCTCTCATTGGAAAGGTTTTGGACTTTTACTTTCCCATAGATTCCCACTACTACCTTTTCTGATTACTTTCTGTTCCTAGGGTTCTTCAACTAAGTTTTTATATTTTTCTAATATGCTGCTGAAGCTACCCCACATCCTTGTCATTGGTCGCCTGTAGCAAGCAGATTTATGATATTTCATTTCACTCATTTTTGTTTGAATCTTTCAGACATCTCTCTCTCTCTCTCCACTTCCCAGATGAAATTCCAGACATTGTTCCATTGGGCAATTTTTTTCTCCCTTGTGCGTTGCAGACACTGGAAATGAGTAAGGTCCTGTTTCGCTTCAAGAGCTGAACCCTCCACTTTGAAGATTCTCTACCCCTTTTGCTCCCAAAAACAAAAGAACAAAAAAAAAAAAAAGAAGAGTTGCAATGCTCGTTTTAGACCCTGTATAGTCTCCTTTGTGCTAGAGAATACATTGCCCTTGGCAACATTTGAAACTTTACAACCATTTCTAGACTTGGGCAGAAAACAAAATTTGCTCTGGGTCAGTGCTAAAATGTCAATGCCATTAGTCCAGCAACCGCCGCCGGTGACTGTAACACAGCAGCCATACAACTCTCATGCCAGCCATGCTTCTATTGGTCCTGTTGTAGCTGTGCTTTTGGTGATCATAATCTTAGGCATACTCGCAGGCATGATCGGACGGCTCTGCACAGGAAGGAGAATCATGGGCTACGGTCAGTATGATATTGAAAGTTGGATAGAAACAAAATGTTCTTCCTGCATTGACGGTAGGATATATCCTCCTTCCCCAACAAGGGCAAATGCTTCTGGTACCTCTGTTCCAGCATCAATTCAACACCAACCTCAGCAAGAAGATCAATCTCCTCAAACCCCACCACCTAACGTTGATTCTTAGCCTGGGTTCTTGCATATAACAGCATATTTCTTGCTGTTAAATATTTTGTACGATAAATTCTTTTCCTTCTTTTTTGGCTAGATTGTTGTCAACTTTGTTAGCTTATTGTTGCTAGTTTAGTGTGAGCGGCAAGCCCAGTTGGAGGACATTCTGTCGTGGGTTAGGAAGTTGCTAAACTTGGAAATTTTTCTTTTATTTTTGAATTGAAAAATGTTTTGGCACTTTCACTAGACTTTTAACAACATCCAACAGAGAAAAGAAAAGAAAACAACTCTTTATCCTGGATAATCAATCGGCATTGATAATGTTAAAGCAAGTTTCTAACCAATAATATGTATTAAAGAGCGTATTTTGCTGCCTTGCTCACTTTGAAAACCATTCTTTTGTCAGTTGAGTATTAACGGTATTGAGTTCTGCAACCGAAAGGGTACAATTAAAATTGGAGGCGCTACAGGCATTGCCACGACAAGAAACAATTAATTGTTGGCTGCTGCCAAGGCAGTCAGAGTTGCACCGTTAGGCATGTCAGTCACATTATTTCTTACATAAATCATTCTCCATTAACTGCTTAGGCATGTCAGTCAGATTAAGCGATTACCAGAAGGTTTGCTTCATTTACATCCCCAAAGGCCAAACCCTTGCATTTGTTTCCTGCTCCATAACCCAATAGTCAATCAACCCACATGCACATGGTGAACATTCACTATATATTTTCTTCATCAACTTATCAAGATAGGGAGATTGAAGAGTGGAGTGGGGCATGTAAAAACTAGTAGTAGTTTTAGCACCATGTGAATGATGTTAGAAACTTAACGAGAGAAATATTTAACCAGACAGGCGTCAAACATGGCCCGGGAGCTGCGGTGAAAAGGGGAGACCTTTTCACTACAAATATTTGTTTGCACTTAAGCTAAGAAAGTGGCGAATCAAATCATGCTGCATAACCAACATCATGTGCTCATTCTTACAAATCTTCTCAAATGTTGGTCTAACGTTAAAGGTCTGGAGCTACGAATTTGCTGACAGGTGACATCAATGCATGACTGCAAATATGCAAATGCTGAAATATATTGATCATAAACATATTTAACCTCTTATCAATTTGCATTCTTCATAAAGACAGTTGTCAGCAATGCCCCAAAAATGAAGTTCCAAATATCATGGTTAACAGTTATAAAGCTGTCAGTTCTAACTCTTCATCATAAAGACCTCTTAATTGACTACAACTACGTATTAAGGCATTGCAAACACACCCTCCTTCCTACAAAGTGAAGGGAGAAAACCTGTCTTCAAAGAACTTACAATAGTTAAAAATTTCATCCATGAGAAGATGTGCGGAAGCTACTACCACATGTAGGACGCTTTATCTTGAGAAGGTGAGAGAGACCTGCCACTACATGCAGCCGACTGCTAGGAATATCTGTCTTTGCAAGTGCCAACCCATTTTTGTCCAACAGCACAAAGCAAGGAACATATTTGATGTCGTAATGGAGAAGCTACAGGAAAACGAATATAACTAAATCAACCAGAACTTATATCAAATTAGTTTGTAACTGAGGTTCAGGAGGAATTAGTTCTCCAACATGGGAAGAACATATTCAACACGATAGAAAATCATCAATTATGGTTCTCGTAACTCTTAACTCAATACAGACATAAATACTTAGGTTGTTATAAATGAAAGTTAACATATGGTAGGTAAGCAAAAGAAGATATAATCATAGTCCACGGTACATAATTTTATGAAAGAAAAATAGAAAAAGGATGAAGAAAAAGTGGAATAACATGAACTTACGCAAAGAGGAGCTATTTGAACTTGCTATATCTTCTAATTTACTAACTAGTACTTGAAGCATGTTGTCAAACAAACTTCCTCAAATGCTGCAATCCTAAAGCGCAGCTTCTATTTTCTTACACATTTTCTGACTAAGAACCAATTAAACAAAATTCAGTTACTCATCCCTACAGGCACTCTCAGATGCCACATGGATACTGAAATATCAACTTACTTAAGAGGTCCTTCAAGATCCAAGTAAAAGCCATATAAAACAGGGGAAAAGAACCCTAAACCTTAACTTAAACCAGTAAAACGAGTGGCACAATGCTGTCACAAGAAATCCTGATACTGAAGCTTCTGAGTTCATTACTACAAAGTCTTTAAGCAGATATGGAAATGAAAGAGATTGATATATGGAAAGGGAAGACATGCATTGCACCATGGCACAAAGTACAGGATGTCCTCTAAGGTTTAGATATAATAAGTAAATCATCCCTTGTGATGCTTAATAAATCAATACCAATTGATCACAACCTATAGCAATATCCATAATCCAAGTGCATTACCATCAGAAATTAAATGCAAAAATGTCAGGATATAGAGCATTTAGTTTACATTGATACCGTGTACGAAGCAAAAACTAACCGATTTAATAGAGAGAACTTTTAGCAAGTGGTGGAAGAACAAATTCAACCATATACTTATTTGTGGAAGCAAAAACTAACTGATTTAATAAAGAGAACTTTTAGCAAGGGGTGGTAGAACAAATTCAACCAGGTAAAACAGTATTATTTCATATTTCAATCTCTAACATATTATCCAAATCAGGAGATAAGTACCTCAGGCAGCCATTTCTGATTCTCAGCATCAGCCAAGACAATGTTGAGCCAATCTGAATTCCTATTCTCCACCTCCATGACAAACTTGAGTAAGGAATTACATAAACTACATTTAGGTGAGTAAAACTCAATCACTGTAGCCTCCTTCCCACTCGCTAGAGCTGATGCAAAAGCTCTATGCTCTGCCTCCGCTTGTTCTTCAGGACTCAATGTTTTTCTTTTCAACCTCAAGTTGCTATTTTGATTAGTCCCAGCATCCCATTGGGCAGGATTAAAATTATTGACCCATGAACCAGAAGATTTCGAAACCGAATTGAAGGTATTTAGAACAAGGGACCCAAGATTTTGCATAGACTTGAATAACCAAGGGCCCTCAAAGGTACAAAGGTTAGGACTTTTAGGCTGTTTGCTTACATCCCATGGCCATTTCGGACAAAAGAAATTATGTTTTGGAGCAGAATTCATCCTCTAATTTTTTTTTCATGAAAAAAGAAATCTTCCAAACTGGGTATTGTTTTTTATCCTTTTTGCCACACAATCGTAGAAGCAAGATTCAGAACTAATAAATACTGCATTAAAAAAAGAGTACTTTTAGAGCTCATGTTCCAGTTGCTACTAAAATTGAAAAAAAAAAATTGATAACCCAATAGGAAAAAAAATACCAAGGGATGAAATATCGGAAGGTACTGTAGAACACTTACCTCTGAACACTTCAGTTCGAAACTCGGGAAGAAGGAAGACACCATGAGTAGGCTGGGGCAGCATAAAGCCATAAACCGACAAGGATTTCTTCAAATTGTCCATGTTTTTGTTATCTTGGGCTGGGCTGCCTTGACTTCCATGGATTTTTTTTATTTCTTTGTTCTAAGTTAAGCTTTTTTGTGTTTTAGGACTTGAGGACTTGCCCATCTTGTCCAACCCTCTAAGCCCAAATCTAAATATCAACCTAGTGATTAACGAAGTTCGGTTCTTGACTTTGTTTTAAAGTTATAACAGGCTTCACCTAACATCCACGTCCAAGTAAAAGAGTTGGGGCAAATGCCATCGGTGTCAGGTGTAAGTCTTTATCATCGAAAATCATTTAGCTAACCCACAATCAGTTGTATTTGGATGACCTTAACAACTCCCTAATCATTTCCAAACCCTTTTGTTCAATCTCAAAATGGAAATCCACCCAATTTTTTATGACTAAATGTTGCTCCTCAACCCCTTTGAATGACTGTTAAGATAAATTTGCTAATGGGAAAAGAATTAAAACTAGAGTCAATGAAGTTCCAAAAGTTTGAATTATGAGAGTGTTGAATTATTTTCCATTTTGTAGAGATAGAAAAAATAGCAAATGTGACTCTACAGGAGGATCCTATTGAATTATAATGCCATTGCTCTCCTATATAAACCCCAACTAGTACTCCCATTGTCATCGCCATCTCATCATTTCAATTCCCAAGCAACAGCTTTCTTCAGGCCCACTAGAGAAACTCCGAGCAAAATGGCTTCTTCTGGCTTCAGTGCTCAACAAATCATCCTCTTGGTAGCTGTAGCTGCCTCTCTTTTGGCAGTCACTCAGGCTGCCACCGTGGTCGTTGGAGGCTCTGAAAACTGGCGCTATGGTTACAACTACACGGAGTGGGCTGCCAACAATGCACCGTTTTACTTTGAGGACACCTTAGGTTCAGCCCATATATAATAAGTTTATGAATACATTATTTTGCCCTTTTTTGGTTCCATTTTATATGTTACTGATGTTTATTTGACCATTGTTGTATAAATTTGCAGTGTTCAAATATGCGAAGTCCCCAGCTCATAGCGTTTACTTGCTGCCAAACTTGTGGAGTTACTTGACATGCGATTTCAGTAAAGCCAAGCTTTTGGCTAAACCAACTCAAGGGCACGGTGATGGCTTCGCATTTGTGCTAAACCAATGGAGGGTTTTCTACTTTGCTTCTGCTGAAGGTAATGACTGCAAAGATGGGCTGATGAAGCTGATTATTGTACCTTGGCCACGTTATTAAAATCCTTGATACATCACAAACAGAAGGCACATCACTGTGTTGATCAGATCATCAGTAACAAAATTGTTCAATCATTTGGGAGAGGACCATCAACCATGATTTAACAATTATAATACATATCATCGCTTGATCATCTAACTAAATAAAATTGTTCAATGTTATTATACATTTTGTTTTATTTTTACTTTTGTTTATTATACTTTTTAGGAAAAAGTGCTGAATTAGTGTTTGTTTTTGTTAAACAAAATGAATTGTGTTTTTCTTTTTCATTGTTGAATGCATATCAGATATATGCAAATGGAGTATATTATTATACAAAATAAAATCTAGTTTTCTTTGTTTACAGTTTCAATTAGTGCTGATCCCTCTTAACCATACATGTCTACCAGTTTTCCTATTTGCCGTGCAAGGGTTCCATGTCGAAGTTCGACTGATGACCCTCCTCCATCCTTTCTAACATTATAAAGATCCAAATATAAATTTTTGACATGACACAACTCCATAGTCTTATTTCTCTCAAGTCTCGACCTTGTCTGCAAAAGTGTCAAATGAATCAGGGCTTGTCTGGACAGGTGGTGCTTGTACTTTGGAATCACCTAAAAAACTCTTTAATCTTATGGAAGTAGTTCCAACTTGAATAAGACAACAAAAATTTTAACTTTTTCACACACAATCTGTAACTTGGTAGCTTATTTTTCCTCCTTTAGAACTTTAACTCCCATGAAATAAAGAGCATGATTGATTACCTTGAAATTAAGGTTACTCTCGTTCACACATCTTAAAAAATTGGTTATTGGATGTATTTCAGGGTTGCAGCAATATAATTGGACCGCTGAACTGAAATCATACAGCATTGATAACTACATCCATTAAAAACTTTCTTTTTTGCCTAAGGCACAGGGCATTAACACATTTAAAACATGCATGCCTTGATCAAATAATATAAAACCCAAAGTTGCTGCTGTAAAGTGGGACAGAGATTTGATTAATTGAATCTGCTTCCAGCCAGATACAAACAGAGTGCGTTCCCTACTCTCCAATGCTTTGCTTTTTCCACCCTTCCCTCAAAACAAATCCTCCCCATTTTTTCATCAGGCAAGGTCCACAACTCCACATTCTTTGAACTTGTATGGGTAAAGACACCCTGGCTGATTTTAACATGCAGACAAGATGAAAAATGTGTGGCTAGTATGTTTTGGAACTTTTTAAAGTTGCTTCCAAAGTTAATTGGCAAATAAGAAACGTGCAAAGAGTTCACTGAACCTGAAAATGAATGCTTGACGCTGTAACACTCCATAGCCAAAGCTCACTGTGGTAAGTGGAGACTGCTGTTTTGTACAATTGGGTTCTTGTTCATTTGCAATTGTTTCAGGAACAAGTAAAGCTTTTGAATGGTGAAAAACACAACTTCCTTTTGGTCTACAGCTATTTCCAGTTTGATGTAGGAAGTAACTGGGAATCAAAGCCAAATACAAAAAGGATTTACTATTTTTTTTTTTATTGAAGAGCATTTATGAGTTTCTTCATCAGGTGTAAACCAACCAGCAGCTTGCTATTTTCACATGTTCCTCCAAATTGTACTGTGAGACAAAAATATAAACAAGTTGGAGAATTTTGTACTTTGAGCAAAAACATCAGTACTAGTTTGTCTTTCCATGTGATCACAAACAGAGCACAAATTTCCATAAATAATTTCTATTGATTCCTCTGAATTGTTATCCAAGGAATAAAACAATGGGGATATTAAAGAATTTTACACACATCCATCCTAATAAATCATCTCAATCCTTATCATTTCATTACTCAAACACTGATACAAGATCTAAATTTTTTCAACTAAGATATTGAGAATCCAAAGTTTGAGAGAATATCTCCCTCCCGAGCTTCAAAAGGTGGAGTAATGACATCTCGTGAGTAGAATTCTATTTTCTCTTAGCCAATATAAAAAGATTTGAGAAAGAATATTTACTCAGCATGTTGCCATGAGAATCAACATTGCCTGAACTAGCTAGTTTATGTATTTGTCCTCTGGTTGCTTTGCCTGGCCTCCCACTATCCCTGGACCCTGATTTCCTAGAATAGGGAGAATTGTCAACAGAATATACTCATCGTTTTCCCCAAAACTTTCAATTTTTTAGCAACCAATTTTTCTTCTTTTTCACTACTGGTGACAAGCTGTATTATCTTGAAAAGTAATTTTTCTTTAATGCCTCGAGCTCAGGCATTCATTCATAAAATCTTACATTTCTTCAAAGCATTTTGTCCTTTGACGAAAACAAAAGAAAGAAAAGAACTAAAGATCACCATATGAAAACCAAGAGATATGGGACAACCCCAAAGGAAACCCTGAAGGCATAAAAAACAGAAAACACAGATTGGCTCAGCAATTTTTTTCTTTTGTTTTAATGAAACCTGATGTCTCAGCTCGATAACGTTGAGCTCATATACTCTCTAACTTCTCTTGCTATCACATTTCTCATCAGATCCCAAAACTCTGCCGGCACTCTCTCCTCTCTCTTCCTCCCCTCAGCCACCACCGTACTTCCACTACCAGGCGGCGCTAGAGTCAACGCCGTCAACGCTTCCTCATCCATCATCATCCCCACAGATGCCAATGCACTATCACCACCCTCCACTTGCTGATGATGAGTACTCTGAATGATCTGTTCCTGTGGATGTAGCAGCCGCGGCTGGTGTTGCTGTTGTCCTTCTCTTGCCCTCCTCTTCAACGTCGAGTTCCAATGATTCTTCACAGCATTATCAGTCCTTCCTGGAAGCAATCTAGCAATGGTGGCCCACCTGTTACCAAACCTAGCATGAGCAGCCAAGATGGTCTCATCCTCAGCTTGAGAAAACGGACGGTGCTCAACTTTGGGGCTGAGCTGGTTACACCATCTAAGCCTGCAAGATTTCCCTGATCGACCCTTTATATAACGGCTTATCAAAGACCAGTTTCTAGGTCCGTATCTTTCAACCAGTCGAGTCAAAATCCTATCTTCCTCCGCACTCCAAGGACCTTTGATCTTCTCATCTTTGTTCGAAGCCCTTGCAGAGAAAGATGACTCTGAAGAGGATGTATCAGATGATGATGTAGAAGATGAACACGCATTCATTCCTTCCATCTTTAGTCACTTACCCAAGACCAAGAGAGATCAATCGAAGAGAAAAGTTGTTTCTTTTGTGGTTTAGTTTCGTTTGATTTGTGACTTTGAGTGAAGCCAAGAATCAGATGCAGTGAATTGGGGTGGGGTGGCTTATATATGGAGAAGGAAAGGTACATGAACATATCAGGCGCCTAGCATTTAGACATTGGGGGGTACTTCCAGGAAACAGGCTTTTGGAAAGTTGGTGGGGGGTCTAAAAAATATAGACTGGAGAGGGAAAGGTTTGTGTAGATGTGCAGCCCTAGCTTTATTTTTTCCTGGTGAGAGATATCTTGTCATTGTCTTCACTTGCCAATTTACCATTTTGTCTCCAATTCAATTCAATTTGAGAATTGAGAAGAAATATTTGCATAAAAAAATGAGCTCCTCTTTGCATGGTAAATCTCATATATTGTCCTAGTTCTAACAATGAGTTTTGATTTTAAATAATTAGTTTGATAAGATTATTAATAAATTTTCTATTTATAATAAATAGATAATTTCTTTTAATATTTCAATCAAAATTTTGTAAATATGATTTAGTCACATCAATTTTTCATGATAATTTTCAAAAAATTAAAGTTATGAGATTAAAACCTTTTGAACATTAATTTTTTCAACAATTAAGATCAATTAAAAATTCAAATAACTAAACTAGATTTAATCTTTGATTTTTCTTATACCCTTTAACATAGATTTATTTTTTTTATTGTTGAATTAATTATAGCAATCTTTTTGTTGAATTAAGTGTAAAATGAAGTTAGCAAATGTCTTTTATGGAAATAGTCATACAAAATAAATCCACAACATGAAAAATGTGTCTTTTTTAGATGTCAATTGGAAGAGGGATATAACACTCATTTCATTGAGTGCACCATTTTCCTACAACAATGTAGGCTACTTTATGCTCTATAACATTTATTTTGTCGTATGAAACACATGGTCGTGGATAAGGACTTTGAAAAGTACATTTATATGGAAAATATAAAAATTAAATTACACATCATTCTTGTGATTTCATGTACTTCTAACCATCCAAAAAAGAAAAATAGTATCACCCCTTAGTCTTCATTCAACCAAACTTAGGCTTTGAGTTTAAATTTCAAATAGAGATGATAATAAATTGAGTTGAGATAGAGTAAATTTTTATTTATTCTAAATCTAATTTGATTTTATAATATTAATATCCGAATTTAATTTGACTCGATAGAATATTAAAATATTATTTTTTTGTATTTGAATTTGATTAGACTTACATATGTTTAAACCTTTAATCAATTTAATTCAAAATTAATGAAATATTAATTTTTTAATATAAAATATTATTTTTAAATATAAATATAAAATTAAATAAATAATAAATAATAATATATGTATGGTTGGGTTTAAATGAATTTACATAAAACTCGACTCCAAATTTATTTTAAAATTATTTGATCTTATTCAAAATTTGATTAAAAAATTTTAAAATGTCAAGTTGGATCGAAACCTAATAAATACAAACTAAATTATTAATTCTAATTTCAAAGTTAAAGTTTGGTTCGGTTTAAATTATTATTTAATGAATAAAAAATATTTTTATTTAAATTTAATTTTAAAATATAAAAATATTGATATAAAATATTTCTTTAATATTTTAATAAATTTTAACAATAATCAAGCATGCTCGAACTCAACAAATCGAGCTTGAGTAAGAGATTTTAGGAACCCTAAACTTAAAAAAAAAAATTTTAAATTCAAATTTATGGACAAAATATTGAAGAAAATGGGAAGAAAGAAAAAAAAATGTATCCTCAAAGTAAGGGGTAGAATTGGAATTCAAGGGATACCAATGGGGATCTGAGGAAGGGAAAAGAAATCAATAAAATCATTCTCGTACGGGCACAAACACAATGGTTACGGGAGCGTTTAAAACATGACAGGAAAGGCAGAGCTGTTTTACACAAAACAAACGTTTTAAAACGGAAAGTGGGGCCCTTTTACTTTTTTGACTACTTTTTATTGCATCAGATTTACAGCTGTAAGTCCAAATCCGTAGCAATGTTAAGATTCACGCCAAATCAGCGGCTCCCAATCAACCGTCGCCAAATAAAAAGAACACTGTAAAAAAGAACCATCATTTAAAACAACCTGTTTGAAGATGGCTTCAAAGCCATCCACGTAGGATGGCCTACTTCCAGCCTGTAAGAATCTCACGTGATTCGAGTTGAATCCCTTTGACTTTGTGGTTTTATTCAAAAAAAAAAAAAAATCCCTCCCTAAGGAGCGTGTCACTCACTCCCCAAAACAATTTGCCATCAATTTTAACTTTTTCACTTGTTTTTAAGGAGCGGATAAATGAATCATTTTGTTTTTTCAAACGATCTAAATTTTTATCTTTTGCGAGCGGGTAATGAATTGTGTCAAAATTTAAAATCAATAAATTTTTTATTTGTTTTGTATTTATTTTCTATTAAATTTATATAAATAATTAATCTATCATATTATAGTTAGTATAAATATTTTAAATAAAAATATTATTTTAATATATTTTAATATTATTTATTAATTTTGTTAAATTTATCCAAAACTCTAATCACACCGACATTTGTTTCAAAGTTTTTATTTAAAACAGCGATTGAAATCGAAAAGATGGATTACCGAATGGTATGTATAAAAAAATATTAAAACCACAAATAATATATATATATATATATATTTTCTTGATCTATTTTGTCTTAAGAAAAAAGGACGGTAATAATTGCGTACTGACGGTTGTATTTGGGGGACATGAATTTGGACGCTATCGTTAAATAGATAAATATAGATATTTCTTTTTTTTTTTTCTTTTAAAAATGTGATCAAACAGATTCTGAGCCAATTGATTCGTGGTAATCAGGGTGGGGCCATTGTTGTCTCCTTCCAACCCATTTGCCGGTCGGCTTTGCCCCTTCCGTAGTTTGGAGGGTTTTAGCTCAATCCGCGTCAGAATGGGTGGCTCGTCCTCTTTGTACCAGTCAACGCACTGGCTACAAACATGGTTGTTGAGTTTTTTTCCCTCTTTGTTTCTTAATAGATTTCTCATTTGACAGTCGACATGTATCAATATTCATATATTCGATTACATTTATTCGTATATTTATATTATATAAAATATTAAAATTTATATATTTATTTATATTTTATATAAAAATTTATATCATAATTATTTATATATAAATATAATTTATATTATTTTTATATATTATATTATATTATATTTATATCCTATTATTATATTATATTTTATATTATCAAATTTAATTTTTTTATTTAATAAATAAATAATAAAAATATTATATTATAATTTATATAAATATAATAAATATAAAATATATATGTTTTATTTTTGTTAAATTCATATTTATATATTATTTCGGGTTACGTTTTGTTGCGTGCACGTAGAAGGTGTTTGGTATGGTTTCTTTTCGGTTGTAACCTGGTCCGTCCAATAAGGAAATGGGCCGCGAAGAGAGGTAGGTGGGGTTGAGTTTTCTGATTGGTGGTGGCCCAAAATTTCCAGATATGGGGCACGCATGGGCTAGTCTAGATATTTTGGGTTGTGTCGGCCGAATTGTATGATTCAGATTAAGGCGTTAAGCGTATACTTTCATTTCAACCATTCCTACCAACCAATGAATGATCATTCTCATGATTTATCGCTCAACTTCAAATTTATTTTCTCATGATCATTCTCTAATTTTATTGGAAATTAATAATTTACATTGATACTCAACGAATAGCCTCTTGAACCGCTTGCTCGTCAGCCTTGTTTCAACTTAATTTCAAAGCATTGGAATAGAAATTGGAGACGAGAATTAAATGGAAATTTCCTGTTAAGCTTGTGAATAGGACTTTGCAGAAGCCGGGATTTAAACATGGATTCATATTTTCATGGACTGATTGTTTTGTTGTTGTAGTTTGTTCTGTATCTGCTTGTTTTCTAGTTTTTGTTCCAGCAGGTTGCTTCTTTCTTGTCCTGTTGGTCTAGTTGTTTTTTTCTTCCACTTTCCTGCCCCTATCAGACCGTCAGCAGCTTCATACTTTATTTTATAATGGGAACTCCAAGTCCTCCTTTGATTTGAATGATGGGATTTTTATTTGATTCTATAGGGTGCAATAACTAGCTAGCTAGCTTAGTCTCCTCTTGTGTTGCTTTTGTAATTTTCTTAACAAAACAGGGATTTGCAAATCAAACCAACTTCAAATAATTTTACTTAGACAGAAGTTAAAACGCAAAGCTTGTCCTTAAGGAATGAAGAGCATACTGACAAATTTTTTAATACAAAGGAAGCTGTAATAAACTTGTTACATGTCATTGTATAAATTAATTGAGTTCATCCATAGTTTCAGCAAATTGACAGATTGCGAAAGGGATTGTCTGCAAAAGATGTTAACATATATGGCATATGAAAAGCAAGTGGGAATTGTTGGTGGCTAGAATTTATGCCTGGGAGGCCTATGAAATGGAAGTAAACGCTCAGAATTTCAGCCACCAGAGAAAATTCTATTTGGGAGTCGACGTCAATTACTTAAACCTGAAGACATCGATTTTTGAGTATGCTTAAATGCTAACCACTAGTATTTTCCACAATATTAACCACTAGTATTCAAGCAATGATTTTCTTAATTGGTTGTGTTTAGTAGATGATAATCTTTCTTGACATGTTCGTTGTCAAAAGTAACTTAGATAAATGTTTAATTATAAAAGATAAGCACCTTTTTCCTTTTCTTCCAAAAGTTTTCTGTAGAATTTGTAGATATTGAATTACACCAGACTAAAAGTTTTTTCCTTCATTAATGAAGATTTCATGTTCATTGTGCATTTTGAAATAAAGGGTTTATGGTTTGTCGGCATTCATCTTATTCTCAAGCAAGAAATAGGAGATGATATTGGCTTTAACTCCATGAAAGTGACAGAGCAGCTAATTTAGGTTTGGTATCTAGCTTTAACCATGTGACATAGACATAGTAGACCAATGGTGATCTGTTTGCTTCCGTCATAGAACAAGTTAAAACATTAAAGAGAAAATAGTTTTATGGCACTCATGTAAAATTTCAAGTGTACAAATAACATGAATTCTAATGAGCTCTTACAAAGAAAATACTTAGTTCCGGGCCAGCTGCACCATCTGGATTAATCATGTATAGAGCTTCCGAGTCCTTTGATCCAACCACCCTCTCAAATCTTGCTCTCATGTACGTCAATTCCCCATCGGCTGTTTCCTTCTCATTGGGGCCTGGAAGGACCCCTGCACCCATTGACACACCTCGCAAAAGCTGCATAACATGAAGCTCATCTTCAGACAATTGTTTCCTCCTGATCGAGTAACCCATCTTTCTTCCATTACAGTACACTGCCCAAACAAACTCCTCCAACAGTTTCTTCTTGTGAGTCTTGGTCTCACTCTCTAGCGCTATTCTGACAATATCAGATGCCATCTCCTTTTGAAGTAAGCTGGTAAGCATTGGTAGCTCAATGACAAACAATGGCACGCAATGAGGATCATCCTGTATTGCTAAGCAAACTCTGCCTTTACGGTAGCCAAAAATAGTACCTGTTGTAGCACTATCCTTCAGCAAAGGCTTCCGGGGTCTACCCAATAGTGCAACCATCTTGCACCCTGATGTTAGCATAGGGAAGAGCTTGAACATACGCAAGAGACCACCACTACTGGACTTTCGTTGCTTCTCTCCAGGTGTAGGCCGGAGCAATGACAGTATTGCCGGATTGTCCATTTGGAAATATGGACTAGAGTGAACCGGTGGCATTATTGGACTTTGTTTAAAATACCCAATTCAAGAAGCTAGAAGAGAGCTATTCTAGTAGAATTACAAAGATCAAACTAAATAGAGGGAGAGAAATGGGAGGCTGGAAGGGGGGATCTGCTATAGGAAATAAAAGGAGTGAGTTAGGCAGGTGGTGAGTCACTTGGTTTTGATTGTCCTTGGAATCTTTGAGGTGGGGAAGAGAAGAGAAGAGAGAGCCTACAAGTTGGTTAAGAGAAGAAAAATGAGACTAAAGCTTGATGTGACCAAGTTTAGTGATGAAAAAGAGAGGGATTGAATGCGATGAGATAAGGAAGGTCGGACCAAAACTTGTGGGGAATGGGATGAAGAAAAAGAACTCTCAAAAAAGATGAAAAAAGGACTCTGGTAATGTTGGGTTTAGCATGTGCCTTTCTGATCATTACATAGGGCATCAACATCACCTTCTTTGTGCTTTTGCAAAACTCATCTCAAACTCTCACAAATTATTGAGGTGCAGCTCATCTTCCCTCAAATTTGCTACTGTTTACCGATGGAAATGGAAAAAAATTGTGCTTTTTTGTGTCAGACCATAGTCTCATTCGATAGAGTCATTTCAGGCAGTAGCACAACTGAAATAATGATCATGTTCTTTTGAAATTCCTTTAATTCTTTCTTGATATAATGCTACTGTTTTGGTATTAAAAGTGCATTTCTCATCATTTCAATTCCAAGCAACTCATCTCCGGTAGTTACATAGTAAATTTCCACATCAAGATTTTGAATTCTTCTCACATTTCCTGTTAATGATTGCTTAACAAAGTAATTCTACTTGTGTTTAGCAGCCATGTGGAAACAAGACAGGTCACTGTCCGAGAGGGGTTCATCTGAAAAAGACTAATTAAAAAAAAAAAAATAGACAAAACATCTTGTCTTAGCCATCTTCTGCTGTAATGTTAAACAGCAAGCTGCTGCTTTTCAAATTACAGAATAAGAATTATGTACATTTCTCTTCAATAATTGTGTGATAGCTAATCATGGACCCCTGAAATAAATTGCTCTATCTTAATTTGATAATAACACTTCAAGAAATTTGCTCAAGATTTAGAGATTGATATGCTTTAAATCTGCTTTTTGGTTATTGGCCCCCCAGACTGATTAGACAAAGGGTTACACTTCATATAAATATATATACTTGGCGTGTGAGAGTTAAATTGTAATACCCCAGCCCAAATAATAATTGGTTAGACTAATATTAAAGTCCATCAGTTTATTAAGATATTATTTAGTAAAAGAAAAATGGCTGAAGTATTAGATGAAAAAAAACCTAATTATCGTGAAATAGAAAGGAAATAGAGTTATTCTTCCTCATCTTCCTTAGGGTTAGAGAATATGAAAAATCAAGTTGGAGATTCACAATCAGAGGCTACAATCAAGTTAATCCCTTAAAGGTGAGTACATGTCCTCTTTTTATTGGAAAAGAAATATCAAGTTGATTGCTATTATTTGGAGTTAAAGTTTTGAGAGCAAAACCAAGAAAAATCATGAAATCTTTCATTAATCTTCATGATCTATTTGGGTGAATTACTGAGCTTTGTTTATTTCATGTTCTTAAGATTTATTGATGATTATTGAATGTAGTTTGAAGGCTGAAAGTAAGGATTTGAGTTTTTAAAGATTGAAGGAGAAATTCTATTTTTGGATGAGATGTTATGATTTGTAATAATGAATTAAAATAGAATTTTGCATTAATGGATAGATTATTGCTGTGATTATTATATATCATTGGAAAGCATGTTGAATCTAGTTTCTAATGAAACAAACGAAAGTCAAATATGAGTTTTTTATAAAGAGTTGTCTAATTTTAACTTAAGGATATGCAGGTTGTAAGACAATAGCATCAGGGTTGAATTACGAAATTCTTCTTAATCTGTATACAAGGATTTACAGATTAAGCCATATATGTTTGGAAAGCTTATTGAGTCTACTTTCCAATGAAACAAGTGGAATTGAATTTGGAGTTTTCTGTGAATAAATATATAGTTTTTATTAGAAGGTATACAGGCTGTTTGGCAGCAGTATATGACGTGGATTTCAAAAATTGTTATAATTAATCTACAAGAAATTATAAGGTGAGCCATATATGGTTAGAAAGCTTATTAAGTCTAGTTTCTAACGCATTAAGGAGATCATAATTCCGATTTGGATATATTGAGATATGACTGTTTTAATGAAAAGAAGTCAAGCTACCAGTATTAATTAGTTAAGTTAACCCTTATGTAACTTAGTTGATTTTTGTATAAATGATCTCAAAAAGGGTTGATTAAATTTTGATCTGTTGAAATGATCTTGGATAGGCCATTAATTATTTTGGGAGGAAAAACTAAATGGTAGAATCGAATTGAGGTAAGTAGAATCTCACACACTTTGCTTGTTTTCAAATCTATGTATATATATATATGTTTTTAATGAATGAATGTTTTATTTCTTTATTTTCGATATATGAAAATAGGATCAAGCATATGATTATTTTGTGTTTCTCTATATAAATGATGGATCATGCTTATGAATGAAATGAGAAAATAATTTATGATTAAAGAATGATTTTGTGATGGCTACGTTTTTTTTTACATCCCTGGGAAGTGGGATCATCAACACCAGAACTTAGTTCTACGACCCTGGTTAACGGGTAATAGTAGTTAGCGTAAGCCCTAGCTAACGGGTTATAATAGTTAACAATGATCATGAGAATAAAATTGTCGATACGGCCAATGTCATAGGTTATAGCAGTGATCGTAGCTAATGATTTGAATGATAATGATGATTTACGATGATTTTTAATGATTGATCCATGATTTAGTTTGATTATGATGTTTGAATGATAGCATATTTTACAATGATTTATGAAGTGACATATTTTGACATTAATTTATGAATGTATGAAATATTTGACAAAACGATGATCTTGAAATGTTTTGATATTATGATTTGATGAATGTTTTGAATGATCTATATGATGTGTAAGAAAACGATGCTTGATCTGATAAGGTGTGTGAACCTATACTTACTAAGCTGTGATTTGCTCATTCTCCTTTTACTTTTTCTTTACAGATGACTAAGTGATAAGTTTGGTTAGTCTTATGTGAAGCTAGAAGATGAAATGTGTATGATTACTTAATCGTTAGAGAATATGTTGGTCAATGAGATTTTAAGAGGCAGTTTTGTATTTTATATGGTTTGTATTTGGATATATAAAGATATATCATCAGTTGGATTAAAGATATGAATTTTACTTGGTAGATTATTTTATTAAAAATTTTAAAATATTTAAGAAAAAATGCTTCGTATTACTTTGAGATATTTTTTAAAATAATATGATCATGTTATATCTCGATTCGAGACGTGACATAAACAGCTCAACAGCCTGGGCTCCATGTTAGAGTTTGCTAATGGTATTTGATGAATATGGACTGCAAACAAAAATGCAAGCTAAGAAGCAGTCTCGACTGTGTTTGAAGATAAAATCACCCATCAACAAAGCTAGCTGAAATGATAGATATGATGTTTTCGGCTTGAAAAATATTGATTACATATCATTTGAAGACGATGAATGTTACTAGTTACTTTTCCCGTGTCCTAAATGTCCTTCATATGCTACCCTCTTTTTAGATTAAGTCAATTGACTTTGATATTATTATATCCAAATCAGGGAATTTCAAATGGATTAAAGTAATCTAAAATGATTCCACGATCTAAATACTTTGTCCCAGCCTTTTAATTGTTGTGCCCATGATGGGACTTCCCGTCCCATGTCCACTTTGCTTGCTGTTGTTCTACCTGACTTGTGGCTGGTCTTCGTTTATTTGCAATTATTACTTTCTGGTAAAGAAATGAACTCTGCCGCTGTAGTTCATTGCTAGTCCATGATCAACTCTCGGTTTAAACCTGTGTTAGAAAATTTAATTTGGTCAATTTCTAATGGCTTCAATATAATTATTCTTGATGATTGCTTAATCATGTTTAAATTCGGGTCCAGGAAAAGCCTAATCATCAGGTAGCCTTCCAACAGAAAAAGTTGGCAACAAACACAACTTCTGAAAATGGAAAATGGGCACCTGAATAATTTCTTTGATATACAAATCTTGATAGTTGAAACCGGCAAGGGCAAATCACACTGAAAGCTTTCAGTTTTTAGAAAACATAAGAAAGTATATGTTGCAAGCAATTCTATATTCTTCGAAAGGTGCTTCTTTTTGCTGACTTTAGAAGCTTTCGTACGCAATCATCCTACTGTGTTCAGAACCAGATGACCTGAATCTGGTGCTTTTTTCCAACATTTTGCTTTTGAGTATTTAATTGGAATATTTTTTATCTTACAATTTGCAAATGTAAAAGAGTATGATATGGTTATCAGATCTAGCATATTATACCCAAAAAACCTCATCCAAACTAATCAATTAATTATTCATCGGTGGATAGAAGCATAACCATAAGCCCCTCCTACTACCTAAGATGTGGCTTTGATTTAATGTTGAGAACTCGGGGACGCTGCCCTTCAAGCCCAAAACACCTCAGAATAAGCTAAGAAACATGCCATTTCCCTCTAAAGTTTTGAACTCCTCGTATGTTTGTAGCAAATGGTGCCCTAGTTGTACCTCACTAAGGAAGCTTTCTTGTTTAGAATTATGCTTAAAAAGTAAGACCATGACCCTCATGCAAGTTAGGCAGTCTTGGGCCCCCAAATGTGGTCTGCTGTCAGGTAATGGATCAAAACCTAATTTTATTTATGGTAAGCGGTTACTTTCTTTTTAAAGAGACATCAGCATGTGGAACTGCAATTTGCAAGGGATGGGCTCATGGGCAGACAGCAAGAGGCTAATACTGGCTATGGTCGGTTAACGCTGCCTTTTTTTCTATTTCCCACTTGCTTTGTCAGGAGGCAACAACTGTTTTCTGTTTACTATCTCCCAGGTTACAAATGCAAGAGATTAAGATAAATTCAATCGATTAGTATATTTCTTGACATGCCTCGATACTAAAATGCAACACAATAATATTATCTTGAAATAAAATTTAAAAGTAATATGAAATTTTTTTTTTAATTATTTTAAAATTTTTCAATAAAATAATCTGTCAAATAAAATTTATATATTTAATCCAACTAATAATATATTTTTACATATATAAATACAAACTATATAAAATACAAAACCATTAATAATATCTCATTGGCCAACATTATCTTTGATGATTAAGTAATCTTTTTCATTTTGATCTTCGAACTTCTTACAAGACTAATCAAACTTATTATTTACTCATATGTAAAGAGAAATAAAAAAGAGAATGAACAAATCACAATTCAGTAAGTATAGACTCATATACCTTATCAGATTAATTTTTATTTTTATACATATTATATAGATCATTTAAAAATATTTATTAAATTATAATGTCAGAATATTTTAAAAATCGTAATTCTATAAAATATTTCGTAA